CCTTCATCTGCTGGTTCACTCCCCAGATGGTCACGATAGCCACGGCAGGGCCAGGCTGAAGTCAGGCGCCAGGAGCCTCATCTGGGTCACCCACATGGGAAAGGGGCCGCCCTCCATTGCTTTTCCCAGGCCATCAGCAGGGAGCTGGATCGGGAGTGGAGCAGCTGGGACAGGAAGTGGCGCTCATGTGGGATGCAGGTGTTGCAGGCTTTACCTGCCACGCCAAGAGGCTGACCTACTACTTTTCATCTTGGGAAAATGCTTTAAACAATCAGTAAGTTAAGCCCAAAGCATGCAGAAAGAAGGGAATAATAAAGATTAGTATGGAAAAAATGCAAACAGAAACCAGGAAAACAATAGAGAATATTAATAAACTGTAACTTGAGTCTTTGAAAAGATAACAAAATTAATAAGTTGATCATCTTGAGCCAGAGACAGAGCAAACACAAATTACTAAAATCAGGAATAAAAGCAGACATCACTCGGGCCTATACAAGTTAAAAATATTATGGGGAACTATTGTGAATAAGTGTATGTCAATGAATTAGATAACTAAAACAGATAAACTTCTAGAAAGACATAAAAGTACTGAAATGACTTAAGAAAAAAGTAGGAATGCGCCTGCACAAAACAGAGCCTGAATTAGTAATTAAAACTCTCCACAGAGAAGCTGGGGCCCAGCTGCTTCATGAGGCAGTGCTGCCAGACATGTAAAGTTTCACTCACCAGTCCTCCGCAAGGTCTTTCAGAAAACCCAGGCAGGGGCCAGCGCCTGGCGCAGTAGGTTAATCTTCTACCTGCGGTGCCAGCATCCCATATGGGTGCCAGTTCGAGTCCCGGCTGCTCCTCTTCCAACCCAGCTCTCTGCTGTGGCCTGGAAAAGCAGCAGAAGATGGCCCAAGTGTTTGGGCCCCTGCACCCGCGTGGGAGACCTGGGAGAAGCTCCTGGCTCCTGGCTTCGGATCGACGCAGCTCCAGCGGTTGCGGCCATCTGGGGAGTGAACCAGCGGATGGAAGACCTCTCTCTGTCTCTACCTCTCACTGTCTGTAACTCTACCTCTCAAATAAATAAATAAAATCTTTAAAAAACATGCAGTCAGGAAAAAACGTCCTGCCTCACTGCAGACAGCAGCATCTCCCTGGGACAGAAGCCAAAGATCGCACAAGAAATGAAACCCACAGAGCACTGCCTCAAGTCCTCTACACAGCACCGTGACCGATGCAGCCCACACACCACGAGGCACAAGCATGCGATCACCCGGAACCTGTACCTGGAACGCAGGACCGACTACAAACCAATCCATGTGTAAACCATGTGAACAGACAAAGGGCAAGTGCCATACGGTCATCCTGGCAGATAATGAAAACACTGGACAAAACCCGACACCCACTCATGAGCAAACTCACAGCAAACCAGGCACAGAGGGAAACTTCCCCAGAGAGAGAGAGAAACCTAACAGCACCCTATTTAGCAGTGCGAGAACGAACGACGGGCTCTAACAACCTGAGGCGAGCATGTGTGTTCTCAGTCTACTCAGCCCTGCGCCGGGAAGTCTGGCCAGAGCAGTTCGGCAAAAAAGAGCTGAAAGGCGACTGACTGTAAAGAAACAGAGCTGGCTTCGCTCATGTCAAGCAGGGAAACACTATGGCGTCTACTTACACTATTAAACGAGTTCAGCAAGGCCATGGGTTAACAATCAGTAGACAGGGGTCAGCGCTGTGGCGCAGCAGGCTACGCCTGCACCTGCAGTCCGGCATCCCGTGTGAGCGCCAGTCCCGGCTGCTCCTCTCCCGATCCAGCTCTCTGCTATGGCCTGGGAAAGCAGCGGAGGATGGCCCAAGTCCTTGGGCCCCTGCACCCGTGTGGGAGACCCGGAGGAAGCTCCTGGCTCCTGGCTTTGCATCAGCCCAGCATCAGCCGTTGCGGTCATTTGGGGAGTGAACCAGCGGATGGAAGACCTTTCTCTCTGTCTCTCCCTTTCTCTGTCTGTAACTCTACCTCTCAAATAAATAAATAAATCTTTAAAAAAATCAAATACAAAACTCAACTGTATTTACATATACTAGCAATGGACAATCTGAAAATTAAATTAAGAAAATATTCTCATTCACGGTAGCACAAAGAAGAAACAGGAATAAATTTGACAAGTTCAACAGCTGCACTGCTGAAGAAATTAAATACCTAAATAAATGAAAAGACAGACTGCTAGACTTCAAACTGAGAAAGCAGTACTACCCAAATGGTAGATTCAATGCAAAAATTGACAAACTAACCATTAAATTACTATGGAAACACAAATAATCTAGAACAGCCAAAACAATCTTGGAAAAAAAAAATAAAACAATGAAGTTGGAGGGCTCACTTCCTGTTTCAAAATCTTACTACAAAAGTCCTGGCAACGCCAGGACTTACAGACACACAGACTAACGGAACAGAACTGAGAGCCAGAAACAAACCTTTACATTCACTTAAGGATGCCAAGACAACTCAGTGTCACCAGACGACGTGGGGCCAACTAAGCATCCATATGCAAAGGGTCAGTGTGGAGTCTTATCTGATACAAGGGTTTCAGAAATTCCCCCATCAAACTTAGAAATAAACTGATCTTTTAATTCATACTCGCCTATGTAAAACTTATTACTGAATAATAAGATAAATAAACCAATTTTTAAATGGGCAAAAGAACAGACAAGCCACCAAAGATACACAAATGGTCCAAACATCCCAAACAATGCTCGCCATCATCAGCGAAATGCAAGCAAAGCCACAATGAGATTCTGCTTCACACCCCCTGGACTGGCTACCGTAATACCTACACACACACACACACACATACATATGTACACACACACATACACACACACACGTACACAGCATAACAAGAAGTTTCGGCAGGATATGGAGCAGCTGGAGCCCTCATGTGTTCCCGTGGGGACATGAGCTGTGCAGCCACCTTGGAGAACAGTGTGGACCTTTCAGGAAACCCGCACACTGAATTTACCATGTGACCCCGCGATGGATGTGTGCCCATACATGAGATGTTCAGGGCGGCATTGCTCCTAACAACCAGACACACGCTTGCCAGGCACATGTACACGATGGAACAGTACTCAGCCGTCAGAGGAAGGCAGTCCTGAAATGCTCCCATACAAACCTCAGAACTACAGTAAGTAAAAAGTCAGGCAGAGGACCACACTGGATACAACTCTGTTTGTATGAAATATTCAGAACAGGCAGATGGTGGCTGCCTAAGCCTGGGGTAAGATGGAGAATGACTGCAGTTTTGGGGTGATGGACATGGTCTAAAATTAGATCGTCATGATAGTTGTACCACTACACAGAGGCACTAAACCACTCCACTGTACCCTCCAAATGCTACACAAGGTATAACCCACACAGCTGTGTGGGGGCAGGTGTTAGACAAGGTGTAACCCACACGGCTGTGCAGGGGCAGGGGCAGGTGCTACACAAGGTATAACCCACACGGCTGTGCAGGGCAGGAGCTACACAAGGTGTAACCCACACAGCTGTGTGGGGGCAGGTGTCAGACAAGGTGTAACCCACACGGCTGTGCAGAGGCAGGTGTTAGACAAAGTGTCACTCACACGGCTGTACAGGGACAAATGGTACAGAAGGTGTAACCCACATGGCTGTGCAGGGGCAGGAGCTACACAAGGTGTAACCCACATGGCTCTGCAAGGGCAGATGGTACACAAGGTGTAACTCACACGGCTGTGTGGGGCAGGTGCTACACAAGGTGTACCGCACACGGCTGTGTGGGGCAGGTGCTACACAACATGTAACCCACATGGCTGTGTGGGGCAGGTGCTACACAAGGTGTAACCCACACGGCTGTGCAGGGGCAGGTGTTAGACAAGGTGTAACCCACACGGCTGTGCAGGGGCAGGTGTTACACAAGGTGTAACCCACACGGCTGTGCAGGGGCAGGGGATACACAAGGTGTAACCCACACGGCTGTGCAGGGGCAGGTGTTAGACAAGGTGTAACCCACACGGCTGTGCAGGGGCAGGTGTTAGACAAGGCATAACCCACAGAGCTCCACAGGGGCAGGCGTTGTGGCACAGCAGGCTGAGCTGCCACTTGGAACGCCCGCATCCCAGAGCTAGAGGAGGTGGGCTAGGCCCACCCTGCTTTGGATCCAGCTCCTGCTAATACACCTGGGACGCAGCAGGTAATGGCTCAAGTACTTGAGTCTCCACTACCCGCGTGGGAGGTTCAGATGGAGTTCCTGGCCCCTGGCTTTCGCCTGGCCCAACTAGGCTGTTGCAGGCATTTGAGGAGTGAAACAGTAGATGGAAAAGTTCTCTCTGCTTTTTAAATAAGTAAACTAATACACTTTTTTTTCCACAAAAAAAGCTGTGTAAAAAAAAAAAATCCTACAGCAAAATTCAAATTGTCTGTAGAAGTCTTTCTGGGATGCCAACTCTCTGGACACTCATCTCTTGGCGGAGGGGACCCCTGTGTGCTTGAAAATCTTGAGAATCGTTGGGTCAGGGTCAGGGTCAGGGTCAGGGTCAGGTGCAACATGCACGGGGCAAGCCAGGGATCCTTCAGGAAGATTTCAGGAAAGCTGCGAGGAATCTTAAAAAAATGTAATAGCAAGGAGACAAAAGACCACCGCCAACACCGCCTCGTCTGGACTGCTCTAGGAGGCCACCTTCAGGACGTCTGCATTCTAAAGGGCACCTGCTCACCGAGAGACCACTCAGTACCGTGCACCGGACCTCTCGGAGCCCCCAGCAGGGGATGCCAACGTGCTGGGTGACAGGAAGACACCACAAAGGGCCGGCTGACCCTGTCAGTGCGGTCTCGCTCCTTACCTCACTGTGCAGCCAGGAATTGGAGGGCCCTGCCCAGTGCCCGACTCGGGCCCCCTGCGTGTGCTCCTCCTGGTAAGGGACACAGCAGTGAGAACGACAGCCGTCTGCACCGTAACCACGCTGCACGTTGGCTGTGAACCACGGAAAGACAATATAACTGAGCTTTCCTAAAATAAACCATTTATTGAAAAAAGAACCTTTTTCTTAAGTTTCATTAATCAGCCTTTTGAGTAACAAACCTGCAGCTTGCCAACAACAACAAAAAGATACGGTTTCACAGTCAGTGCACTCGACAAACAGGAGATTAAAAACAAGGTCGGGGACGCCTGATAACACTACAACTTCTTTTGAACCTAGGAAGGTCAAAAACATGACACGGATGTCACAGGTCTCAGTCACGCGAGGAACGGAGGAGACGGGGCGATGGTCCAGGTACAGTAGTAATGGCACTTAACATGCAGCTTCTGCAACCTCGTGGGCCCCGCCACGCAGGAGGGCCCTGTGCCGCGTCAGACAGGAGCAGCAGGAGAAGTGACGCTTGTCACCTGTGCAGTCTTCAGTCTTGGACGTTACGAAGGCCTTACTGCTTCTCAGCACAGGCTGTAAGTATTCCATACAGCAGTGATTGAGGGAAGCTCCCCGTCCACACACTGCTAGGCCAGGCCCGGCCGGCTTCATTCTTCATCTGTGCAAACCTGCGGGGAAGCAGGACAGAGCTGAGCCCTCACAGCCACAGACCCGCCACGCTCACATCAGGGTGAGACCAAGGAGGACGCTAGGGTGACCGCTCCACAGTTCAGCCTGCGAGCTGATCAGGTCAACATCAGGTCAATATAAATTGTTCGTGGACTTAGCTAACAAATAAATTGTCATTTCTCACAAACCCCGAGTGGCTCTAGAGCTATTCCGGCTGCCTGGCCTGCATCCTGCTCTCCAGGACCGACACCCCAGTCTGCGCCCGCCCTTGAGGGCTCCAGGGCTCCGTAGTCACTTCTCCACCGCAGCCTCTGCCAGCAGCAGTCTCCCAGACCTGCACCCTGGCCCCTCCTCCAAAGTGTCCGCTGCAAACATCCAAGTGCCCACCTGAAACCCCCAAGCAGTGCTCAGGAACCCCTCCAACTCAGTCTGCCGGGGAAACCACCCTCTGCCTGGCCCACCTCCACCAGCTGCCGGCTTCCCCGGGTGCAGCAAATGGGGTCCCCGTGTCCTGGTGACCAGCCAGGGTGCTGAGCACCACCCTCAACTCCTCCCCCTACTTGCCTCTCCTAGCCTATCGGCTCCTCAACCAAGGCCATTCTAGGCCCTGACCCCTCCGACCCTCCAGCTGTGAGGGCGGCTGCCCACTGAACGCTGCGTCCTGCACCCAGAGGCTGCCTCCCCGCTTCCTGTCTCCAGCTTTTGCCAGTCCAGAGCCTGTGCCCCCCAGGTCTGCCCATGCACAGCCCCTGGCCAGCGTCACCACTAGGAGCGAGTCTTTCCACTCCTCTTCATATGTCTGCCATAATCCTCCCCTAGTCCTGGCCTGGCCACACTTCTCCACAGGTTAGGTCCATTTTACAGACAGAAATACCTGAGGTTACCTAGGGATTAAATTAAAAGCAAGCATCTCGTAACCCTACCACATGGCATATGTGAGGGTGTTTCAATAAACTAATGGAAAATGGAATTAAAAATATGCTTATTTTGGTGTACAACATGTTCAAATACTGGCTTTCACAGTTTTGTCACAATCTGCATTTTTCCATGACCTTCTGGAACACCCTGACACACCCTCCGTAGTCTTCCCCAGTGCTAGCCATCACTAACCTGTCTGCATCATTCAGATGGCCCTACCTAAATCCCCTTTAACTGTCTCAAGTGACCCTCAAACACAGCACCCCAGTCCATCCAGCAGGAGACCCCAATGACCGTTCTGCCCATGAAAACACACACAGAAACCTGGCACAGTGAGCCACTTGGCTCCTGTCCACTTCAGACACAAGCGTTTTACATTCAAGTTTCCAAAGACCCCAGGTACCAGGGGCAAAGCCGCACTCAACACTGCAACGGGAGGACGAGTGCCCAGGGAGCTGCCCACCTTGACGAACGAGTGGTCGAGGAGCTGGCTGGCCGTCCACCTCATCTTTGGGTCACTTTCAAGGCAGTGAGAAAGGAAGTCCTTCCCTTCACGGCTTAATCTTTCAGGGATCGGGGGCTTATGTCCCATTCCCACTTTATACATGATCTGAAAGTTGTGTTCATACTCATGCCAAGGCCTCTAAAAACATTAAAAAAAAAAAGTCAGATTTTAATAAGACACGGCTTTAAGACATACAAACACCCAACCTCTTTTTAGGCATCTCAGAATCAGCACGTATCAGGCAAAGTTCAACAACCTATGGAAAGGGCCGAACGGCAGGCACTGATGTCACAGCTGTTCAATTCTCATTACAGCACGAACACAGGCACAGGCACGGCTGTGCTCCAGCGAAACGTGACTGATAAAAGCCTGCTGGCACAGTGCTTGCCTCCCAATCTGGAATGTGCTCCATTCCAGAATCATTCAGAAGCCATCATTAGGCAGCAAAAAATGTAGTATTTTTAAAATATATTACATTATAAATACACGGAATATATATAGAAAATGTAAAAACTGTAACATCAGAACTGGTGCAGTGACACAGCGGGTAAGCCGCCGCCTGCAGTGCCAGCATCCCTTTTCGGTGCTGGAAGAAGCTCCTGGCTCCTGGCTTCAGATCAGCACAGCTCCGGCCGTTGCGGCCAACTAGGGAGTGAACCTTCGATGGAAGACCTCCCTCTCTGCCTCTCCTCCTCTCTCTCTGTGTAACTCTGAATTTTAAATAAATAAGTAAATTTTTTAAAAAAAAGTAACATCCTGTAAAATACTATGAAAGTATAAATACAACACATTAAACCCTACAGTTCTCTCACAGGGATTTTAAATAAATATTGAATAATAAAAGTTCCATCAGTGCAGGGCTCAGGCTCTGCCATGACTGCAGGAAAAATGAGACTCCCAGGGGAAAGGACCAAGTCTGAGCGGCGTTCTGATCGGTGAACTGCTGCAGTGTGACTGCCGACAGGCCCTCTCCAGAGTGAGAACCGGTTCTCTCTCTTCAGGTGCCTGAATGAAACAGCACAGACTTCACGGGTCACGGGTGAGCTTTCTATTCTAACGCCAAGAGAAACAGTACTAGTCGATATGTACGGAGCAGCTGCAAGGTAGGGCTGCACGCAAGTTCCACATCTCCTCCGTACCCCCGAGTGGCTTCTGGCTTTTTTTCCTGCATAAACGATGCAATGCAGACACACACTGTGCATGTGTATTGATAAGTTTGTATACGCATACCGTGTGCATGTGTGTACTGAACATCTGTACCCTGTATACACACGGTGTCCATCTGTGTACCTACACGCCTGTGTAACTGGTCATCAGCAGTGTCTTCATCAGAGGATTATTTTATGTGTCTCAAATTTGATTTTTACTTAAATTATAACAAAAATACAAGAAATGTATTATGTATAGTGAAATAAAAATATGAAATAAGAAAAACTATATACTTTCTTCAAACAAAATTGAACTAACGATGCAAAAAACAAAGATGAGGTGACTTACCATATAGTAATAAAAGGATCAATACTAGAAAAATACAGGTATGTTAATCTAGTAAGTGTGTGGCCTCCAGGGTCTATGAAATATTTTTCAGAGAAAGTATTCTAAGGATTATATTTGAAGATTAAATTTTTTAAAAGTTAGTATAAAATATATAATTTTCTTTATTACACATGCACCAAAATTTCTTGATTTTTTTTACCTTAAGAATTTTTTTTTACTTTATTTAAGTTATATGAGTTTCATGTATCTCAATTATAAGATCCAGGAAGTTAGTGACACCTCCCACCCCACCCTCCCTCCTGCCCACGCTCCAACTCCTCCTCCTCCCTCACCCATTCCCACTCTTCAGTTTTACAAAGATCTATTTTCAGTTCACTTAATGATCGTAAAGTTAACCCTACACGAAGTAAAAGAGTCAACAAACAGTATGAAGAACAAAACACTGGTCCTCAACAGGAAGAGACAGGGCTGTAACACGCATGACTCTCAGGAGATACATTTCCAGAAGCCAAAATCCCCGAGTCTAAGAGCCCTGCACATCTGAGATCCTGATATTGGGAACCGCTCTCCAGAGTAGTTCTGTCATCTTGAATTTGTGTCCACAACACATGTCTGCTTCCTTACATCCTTTCTAACAGCAAGTACTATTAATCTTTAAAAATGTCACTACACACTAAGTAAAACAAAATGTCACTCTTAAATGTACAGTTCTGATTACCAGTGGAGCTGATTACCTTCTCATGTTTCTATTTTAAAAATTACAATAGAGTTCATTTTTTTGAGCAGGTTTAGGTTACAGAAAAATCAGCTGGAGGCAGAATCCCCACGTGCTCCTCCCCACCCCACAGTGTCACTATCGTGTACGTCCTGCATTCATGTGGCCACCGGCTATCTCTGATGAATCAGTGCCGATACACGTCTGTTACCCAGAGTCCGCAGTGCACGTGAGGGGTCCACGTGTGTGCTGTATACCCCACGGGTTTGCACAGAGGCAGAGTGACATGTGTCCATCATCTCTATACCTACAGAACAATCTCCTGGCTCTGAAATGCCTTTGTCTCCTGTTTGTCCCTCTCTGACCCCCACGTGCGGCCACCAGGCGTCTTCTCAGCACCCCTGTGGTTCTGTGGCTTCTAGAACATCACGCGGCACGCAGCCTGTGAGGGGGTGCTCCTCGGCCCCGGCCGTCTGCACACACAGCTCCCGAGTCCCTGTGTGGCTCCACAGCACGTCCCTTACGTGCCTGTGACACTGTCTGTCTATTCCTTTATCTATCGAAGGACATCTCGCTTGCCTCCTAGTGCTGGCATTTATGAATAAACCTGCTAGAAGAATTCACATGCAGGTTTTGATCTGCAGCTGAGTTTTGTCGCTGCTTGCTTCTCCATCTTAAATCAAGGCTATAATTCTCTGAATTCACTCGCCTGGGATCCTGGTGGCGTGTATCTTTGGCAATACTTGCTTCCTCGTTTGTCATTTGCCTCCCCCTAACGTATCTTCTGGAAGGCCACGTTTTTATCTCTACCCTGTTCTCAGCAGAAAGCGTGCCCACAGCCTTCACAACGAACGGCGACCCCGTCACTGCCCGCTCCAGCTGGGCTCTGCCTACCTTGCCGGTCACCATCTCTATGACAACACAGCCCAGACTCCAGATGTCAGCCGCGCGACCGTGGCCTTCTCCTTTAGCACGCGTGATGACTTCCGGGGCCATGTATGCTTTAAAAGTCACAGATACAGCAACAGTAAAGAGTTAGACACACAGCAGCACGCAGCAGTGGAGATGAGCAATGATTTAATATCGCACAGCAGTCTTTCCCTGAGTTACATAATAGGAAATATTGAAAACAGATATTTCAGATCAACTTTTAAAGAGATTTTTACAGCCTAAACTTTTAAAAGACCGTCTTCAAAGAGCAAATTTTCAAATAAACTGTACTTGCAATGAACACAGGAAATGTAACCCAGAGGAGGCGGCAGCGTGTTGTGACACCGGCGAGCATACTGCGAGGACGCAGACCCAGAGGGTGTTCTTCTTTCGCCACCCCTTATCCCTAACGGGGCATCTCCCCGTCTGACACCGCCCTCGGGGCGCCCCAGCTCCTCCAGGACTGGAAACCGTCTCCTGCCCTCCCCGCCGCCCTGGCAAGGACAGGTGAGGGAAAGCCCACCCAGACAGCCTACCTGCTGTCCCCAGTGTGCTGTTCACTTCCCCAGGCATGGTCTGGGCATTGTTTTTAAGCTTCACTGAGCATCCGAAGTCTCCCAGTTTGATGAGTCCAGACGACGTAAGGAAGATATTGGCACCTAACAAGGAAGCAGCAGTTGTTAAACAGCCCTGCAGACATGAAGTGGGCATTTTAACACCTCCATGGTAATCAAGAGCACCAGGAGCCTTGCTACGGAGTCTGTGAAACTTACTCATAATGCAGTCCTAGATTTGTGAGCTATCATCCACAATCGCTAATCACAGTTAGCAGAGACAGTACAGACAGCTTTGACCAATAGGCTCTAAACTGGAATACATGCTAAACTCAAGCGTTAAAAACGCAAAGATATTTAAAAGCAACTCACACACAAAACACAAATGCTAGCAGCAGTCCTGGGCACTGGAGGCACGTGCCACCGGCAGTCGGCACAGCAGGAAGCGACCGGCAGAACCGGCACACACCTGCAGCGGCGGACTGTCATGGCTAAGGCCCCTCTGGATTAATTCTGACAGGCTGACAAGAGTGTTTCCACAGGCAGCACACAGCCGGCCTGTGCAGCTGGGAGCCAGGGTCACAGGTCCTCTCTCAGGGCGTCACACACCTCTGGCACCGTGTGCGTGGCAACCCAGAGCCTCCTGCGTCGGAGAAGCAGTCTCGAGTCCTCCCCAGCGGATGGTCCCCACGACAGACGCTCCCCTGCACGTCACCCTCTGGGACTACCCCACATCCGCACCCCAGCAGAGCTCTCAGTGAGCACGCAGGGGGACTGGAACTGAGGCTCTCAGGAACGCGCCTCTGCACGGCTGTAACACAGGGGTCACTAAGTGGAGTGGACGTTTAGCCTGAGGTGAGGACGCCCACGTCCCTCACCACAGCACCTACGCTCCACGCCGAGCTCCAGCTCCCAGCCCCCGGGAGGCAGCGGCAATGGCTCAGAACACCGCGTTCCTGCCACCCGCGTGGACACCTGGGTTGAGTCTCCCGCTCCCAGCCGTGGCCACTGCAGGCATCTGGGGGTGGCCGGTGGATAGGAAAATTCCCTCTCTCTCTCTGTTTCTATTTCTCTCCAGAGAAGGAATCAATGAGAGCCAGTTAGGCAAAGCCGTTTGGCAGTGGGGCAGGCAGCCCACAGCACTGGCGAACACTGGGTGGTTCAGGGTGAGCCACGTCACAAAGGAGCGAACCCTCCATACAGACCAGAACCAGGCAAGCCCCTGTGTAAACCTGTTGGCTTCGCCTCAGCCTGGAGCGGTAAAGGGAACCCTGCAGCCTCGGGCCAATGAGAGACAAAAACACTTCCCTGCTCTGGGTGCCCCCGGCGCCCCGGACGCTGAGGTCAGGAGCACGAGGTGGTCAAGGCAAATGCAGTGGTCAGACAGTTCCCAGACAGGAGCACAGCTGTCCCGACACAGCAGAGGACAGCGCCTGCGACCATGCAGGGTGCCAGGTTCACGTGCGAACAGCTCTCCGTTCAGGGCTGCTGCGAGCACCCCCTCTTCTCGTTTCCAAAAGCAAGGCTGCTCATTCGGACTCACGCAGGCATCGCTGTCACCGTCATTCCACGCACTCACACACAAACGCACGAGGAAAAGAAGGGCCGCCCGGACCACGAACAGCAGGACGTGCACACCGGGGCCGTGCCAGCTCCGTTCCCAGGAAGCCGGTTTCTCTACACGGACGGGGCCCGGGCACCCAGTGAGGCTGCTCTGGACGCACCCACAGGGACGGGAGGGGCTGTGGGTGGGGCGCCGGTCACCTTTGATGTCGCGGTGCACTATGCCGTGTTCGTGCAGGACGTTGATGGCGACAGTAATCTGCTTGGAGTACAGCCTGATGACGTGCTCCTGCAGCCCCAGGCGCGACACCTCCTCCAGGGTGCCCTCGTCACAGTACTCCATGAAGATGTACATTTCTTCCTGCGGAGGAACCAAGGCAGCCCTGTGTCTGTGGTCTCCTAACCACACCCCGAGTGAGAACCAGAGACCGCAGAGTCCTCCCGCTGGAGTCCGCTACACGTGCCCTCCTGGGCCCCGACTGCCTGCCACGGGCGTTTCTCGCTGCTCTGCCATCTCAGGCGGGCACCAGGGCCGTGCCAGCCAAGCCAAGGAAGGACTGGAAGACACCCTTAACGCACAGCTGCGGAAATGAGCGGCACCCGGCTCCCCGGGGGGCTCCTGCTGCACGGTTCCTCCTCCCCCACATGCTGTGTCTAAACACACGTGGGAAATCAACCTGAGGACTTCGTGTTCTCTCATTTCACGCTGGTTTCTTAAACACGCGTAACAGAAAAATGAGTATCACGTGACAGTGCGCTCAACAGCAGCGCTGCAAAACCCAGCGGGGGAGGCCCCACGAGGCGGTGCGGAGGGCGCCGAGAGGCACCTTCGGCCCGGCAGGACGGGTCTGGGCGCAGGTGGCGCCGGGCGAGCGACTACCGTCTACGACTTACATGTCAGGAGAGAGAAGGCAGAAGGGCTGTAACCCATGGAGAGTTCCTGAGAACTAGGCAAAGTTACTGTGCTCTGAAATGAGAAGACCTGTGATGTAGAACAGGACTCCCAGCCCTCACTGGCTCCTCGCCCCGCTGCGGGGGACGGCGGCTCACCCTGTGCAGCTCCACGCCAAAGTACCGGACCAGGTTGGGGTGCTTGATCCCCTCGAAGATCTTCAGCTCGTCGGCCGTCTCCTTGATGGTCTTATGGTCGTTGGGCTGAAATCGAATCTGCACAAGGAAGTTGCTCGTGACTGCGGTGCCGTCACACAGGGCGTAGCGCCACCTCCTGCTTCTCCCCAACCCCGGCCCTCGGCCCACTGCGGGCGGGACGCCCTCTCCTCTGCTGTTCCAAGTCAATTAAACAAACACATCGCTTGTGAGTATTTTTCAGTAAGGCAACAACTAATGGGAGGGATTGGTAACGCGAGTGCAAACGGAAGTGCCAGAAACGTGAAACACTCAGGGAGCAGCCAGGGGCGTTCCCGTTCCAGGCTCGGTAAAGACTCAAGGTCTGATTCTGCCCTGAGACGCTCACAACTGGTTCAGATTCTACCGCAAGTGAGACTGTGCAGCCCGGGCGGTGCTGTGCCCGGCTCATCTCACCGAGCAGCTCGCCAGGCTCAGTCCCACTGCGCAAAGGCAACTACGGATACGGCAGACCTAGTGCAAGCTGCTAGGAGACCGCCTGTCCAAGCCTCACACGGAACGTGCAAGCGAGGCGATGACACTGTCAGGAGCCTGACTGAAGCACTCCACATTACAGTCAGGCTTTGTCACCTGGACACACAAGATGAAGTAAAGGGGAGAAGCTCACTCCCAAGCTGGAGCGGGACACGAAAGGAGGGAAGGACCAGGCAGCAGCGGAGGCTGCGGCAGCCGGGGAGGGTGGGAGGAGAGCGGCCTCTCCAGCAGCAGGCGAGGCCCTGGGGACGCAGAGGGCTCCCTGCTCCCCGCCCCGCCCTCCAGCCTCCTGACAGCAGCAGCCCGTGTGCCTGCCGCGGGCCAGTCCCCAGGTCCCCCTGCTCCTCCCCACTCTACTCCAGCTGTCACAGTGCCACTTGTCTCTGAAAGCCCCCGCCATTAGGATGGTGCTGGTATCACCCTCCTCCAGGTCATTGTCCAACTCCCCTCCGGTCTCCCTCCGCAGGGCACTCACACCCCTGTGCGTGCTGGGGTTCCTGTGCTCCTCCCTGGAGTTGCCCACACCTCTGCTTTCTGTGTACATTATCTCAGTGGCGTCTGTGTACCTGGTGCTGTCTAAACACTAACAAGCAGACTGGCCTGGACAACTCTCTCTGCCCAGTGCGTGAGCCAGCTCTGTACAGAGAACTAAAACACGGCGTCTTCACGGAATCTAGGACCAGCGAGCCCGACGCCTTACCTCCTTCATGGCCATCAGCTCTCCGGTGTCGACGCTGATGCAGGTGTAGACCTTCCCGTACTGCCCTTCTCCTGCGAATGACACGGACAGGCTGCTCTCCCAGGCACTTCAAGTAGAGTCATTTAGACCTGCGATAACACTGCTCAACTATTCCAGGTGTGCATTTACCTACCTACAGTTATGGTTACCACTGAAGACCCAAAATGATTCTGGTTCCCAACAACTGAAACGTTAGGCAACCTCTCCAATAAGTCTTCTCCCCAAATTTCTGTAAATGGGCTAGAACTGAGTGTGGCCGAGGACGGAGGAGCTGTGAGATGAGCAGACCTGGTGCACACTTCTAGGCCCTGGTGCCCTTGGAGGATGTCTGGGCCAGGAGTGTGCCTGGCTGCCCCAGAGCCTCCCAGCTGGAGGTCCAGGAGCCTGTGGGTGCCCACGACTTCCTATTACACCCACAGGGCTAGGTGACTCCACAGGACTGAGAACAGCCATCAGTCACACTTAACAAAGCACCTGCCTGTCTCTGTTTTCTGCTCAACCTGACGGCTCTACGGAACCTGGGGCTTCCCGAAGCCCACAAAGCTCTGTTACAACCCTGCTGCCCCTTCAGACCTGAATGCTGGCCAGGTGAACGCATTTACACAGCGAAGGCCTGCAACACAGCCCGGCCTCTTCCCCCACATCATCCGCTGCTCTGAATACAAGAGGCAGTGTCACCGTGTGTCCTGTTATCTGCACCCAGCCTCGTTCCAGACAATGCTCTTGTGGGACTAAGAAAGCACAAACAGCCCAGCAGAGACGGGGCTGCTGTCGGCAGCTCTGGCGAAACGACTTGGCGTGCTGTCTCCTGCAGTCTCACTTCCTACTGCCCTCAGAACAAATTCCACAAATCCAATCAGCAAGAAGCCCGAGAGCCCCTGGAAAGCACTGTGCATCCGCCACTTCCGCAGGAAAGAAGGGCCACCTACCCAAGACTGAACCCAAAGAAGGGTGCCAGTCACTGTGTGTCACACACCACCTCCTTGTCGCGCGCCCTGGCCCTTACCAATCTTGTTTCCTCTTTGCCACTTGAAGGTCACCTTCCTCAAGCCAACGTGCATGACGTTGTCATAGGATTTCGGGGTATCACACACTTGGCCGATGATATTCCTCCTCCTCATTTCTCGGTACCGCTTTTCTTCAAACAATCGCACGGACTTCTGGACGGCTCCCATGGGGCCTTGCTTAGAGGCGGCATCTGCAGAGAGAATGGCCAGCTAGCAGTGGTCCCGGCCACTGGCCTCGCCCCACTTCCAACAAAAGCAGCAGCCGCAGAGCAGGGCCCATCGTTCCCTGAAGTCCTTCAACATCTGCTAGCTCCAGCGTGAACCACCTGCTATACAAAACGTACACACAAAGCCGCTGCCTCTGAGCCCCAGACGGGCGGGGCAACTACAGCAGCTCCCGCCCTCTCACCAACCCTCCCCCGCTTGTCAGGTCATCTTCCTGAAACAGAAAGTCTGACCATGTAAATTTCCTTCAGTTTTCCACTACCTGCTAACCCAAACCCAAACTCCTTCACGGGAGGCCGACCCAGGCCCTGCAGAATCTGGACCCAGGTGTCGCCCAGGGTCTCTCTGTCAGCCCTCTCCCCATTTGCTTCCCCTCCCACACGTCTGACCAGCTGGCCCGAGGCCTCGGGAACACATCGCTGCGTTTCTGACCCCGTGCCTCTGCTCAGCTCTCCGCCTCTCACCACAGCCCCGGGAGTCTCCCACGGCTCAGCTGACCCCACGCCTCTTCCAGGAAGCCGGCTCTGATGAGGAGGGAATGACACTTCCCCTTCTCTGGAGAGGGGGAGTGGGGGCTCTGGAGTCAAGAGGCCCGGGCAGAACCCTGGCCTCACCACTCTAGATGTTCGATGATAGCCAAGCTAACCGACTGCTCTGTACGTTTAACATCTCAGCTAATCCAGAGTCAGCGAGAGCATCACCCAGTGCCCGGACCACAGGAACGCTCCCAGACACTAGCTACCGTCGTCCTGATTGGTCCTGACTCTCCCATCGGGCTCTGCATGGCTGCTTCTCCAGCTCTGAGGTGACTCAGCGAGAGCCGCCTCCACACGCAGGGAGGCCCCGACCACCATGGTTCTGATGCAGCCTCCTCTGACGGCACTCACTAGAACGTTACACCTTGCTAACAAATGGGCCGCTCCCCACAGCGGTCTCCCCGGCCTGCTCCCATCTCTGGGACCCCGCTTCTCGTACTGCATCCCCATGAGCTATCTAAGAGCCTGAACTCCCCAGCAGAGAAGGAGAGCCTCAAAAACCAGAGGTTCACTGGAGAAGAGAAATGTCCAAAAATTCAGAATACTTCAACTACAGTTTCTTAATGCAGTCCTTTAAGACAGGGATTCTAGTGTGGTTCACGACACAACACAAAGTGTACCACAGCGGGCAAGATCGACAGCTGCGAGGCTCCATGGGTAAACCCCTCTAGGAAATGTGCTTTCTGCACTGGTGTCCATGGCGACCACTGAGGGGACGGGGTGGGGGTGGGGAGTGGAGGGCCGACCTGCTATCACTAGGCTCAGGCCTAGGAAGCCTCTGCAGCCTGAACCCCAAGGCAGGCCCTGGTCACCAGCACCCGCCGTCCAGACCTCACCGCTCCCCAGTGCCTCGCTGCTCAGTGGTCTGCTACCTGAGCTCCCTACCTATCCCAGCCCAGCTGAGCAGGCGAGTCTGTCTCATCCCCACCCTTGACCCCAGGGGCACCCCAACAGCTCCAGAGGGCTGCCCCCCACTCCAAGGGAGGCTCCCAGTACTTAGCCGCTCACTGAAGACCGCCACCATCTCCCTCCACCCCACCCCTGGCTTCACCTGTGCTGCCGTCACTCCACCCAGCGCGGCCCACTGGTCTGGGCTGCAAGGCCGGCTCAGCCTCCTCCCCGCCGGGAGATCTTCCCGGCTGCTCCGGGCCTCAGGGGACGCACACTCTCCTGAGCGGCCACAGGTAAGGAGTGCAGTGGTGGGCAAGTGTGTTCTGGTGCTCTGCCGTGTTCTACCTCGGCCGGGCTCCTTGGCCCCTCAGAAAATGCCCATCTCTATGAAGGAGACCATCACCTGTTCCTCCTATTGCTCCAGACTGCTGTGACAAAAACACCAGAGGCCTTTTGTAGATCCAGAGGACTAGACTGGTGATCTTTCCATTCATTCTTTTTGATTACTACTGATCCATCACCCAGATGGTAAGTTCTTTCCTTCAACTTCTTAGCATGAAGATCATTATTGCATGGATCTGAACCACATTCCTACCGTGTCTAACAATTACTTTCAGCTGCTCTAAGAACAGGGACGGGTGGGCACTTGGCACAGCGCTCAGGCTGCCAACTGGGACGAGGCAGAGGCGGCACGCGCCGCGAGCCTGGTGCGTGTGGTTCTGACTCGGCTTCCTGCCCGTGGAGTGCTGGCTCCCGGCTGGGGCCTGGCCCGGCTGCACCTGCTGCAGGCATCTGGGGAGGGAGCCAGCGGAGGGGGGCAGACTTCCGTCTCTAACGAGTCAAACAGCTCTCTTTAAACCTCAAATATAATCTTTTGAAAAACATAAAGACAGTAAAATGCATTCCTGAGCCCAAGGAGCTTGTAATTTATCGTAAGAGACAGGAAATGTTCACAAACCCGATGTGACAGGAAGTGATGTCAAAGGCAGAAATGAGGTCACAGGTATCACTGCAGACGGTGTAATAATCCAGAAGCCACCACATCCTTTAACGGAAGCTACTGGCCTATGCCTCGGCACCTTTAACCCCAGAGCCTCCTGCTCACCTTTAACCCCAGAGCCTCCTGCTCACCTTTAACCCACAACCCTCCTGCTCACCTTTAACCCCAGAGCCTCCTGCTCACCTTTAACCCGAGAGCCTCCTGCTCACCTTTAACCCCAGAGCCTCCTGCTCACCTTTAACCCGAGAGCCTCCTGCTCACCTTTAACCCACGACCCTCCTGCTCACCTTTAACCCCAGAGCCTCCTGCTCACCTTTAACCCACGATCCTCCTGCTCACCTTTAACCCCAGAGCCTCCTGCTCACCTTTAACCCGAGAGCCTCCTGCTCACCTTTAACCCACGACCCTCCTGCTCACCTTTAACCCACGACCCTCCTGCTCACCTTTAACCCACAATCCTCCTGCTCACCTTTAACCCACGACCCTCCTGCTCACCTTTAACCCACAACCCTCCTGCTCACCTCTGGTCTGGCTGATGAGAGTCCGGAGTTCCCAGCTTCTCCGCGCTGACCCGCTGGAATCCCCGCGTGGGTAGGCTGGTTCTGCAGGCAGGATGTTTTCAGACAAATTAAGCTTTATGAAATCTGAAACGGTGACCGGTCATGGCCACCATCAGCCTGTCCTTCCTGGTGAAGACTCTTCATGTGTCTGACGTGGGTGTGAGGAAATGGCTCTGCAGTGACTCAAGACAACTGTGCCCAACCAAGACTCGGGTAACGGTGTCGCAGACCTTCAACTGCACTACACGGCCCAGGTCCTGTGGGACAGGCGCCACCACAGGGCTGCTTGCTAATACAACTTCAGCCTATCCCCAACGCACACAAGGTCACTACTTGCATTTTTAAAGTGAAAGTAATTGACAATTAAAACATCAGGAATGATTTTTTAGAGCAACAAAATAGACCCAGAAAACGTAAGGGCATCTAAAAAAGCGTCTATGTTACGAAGCCAGTGCGCTCAGCACTAAACCTCACAGAACCCCACTGCTCCTCACTCTTTACTAATAACAGAAATGGGGGCGCTGGGGGCAAGGGTGAGGCCAGTCGCAAGCATGGCTGACGCCTAAACCCACTCACCGTCTCGCTCCTCTGTGGGGCTGGAGTGCCGACTCAGGGACCTAAACTGCAGCTCAGCAGCTATGGAAGCCAAGCGGTCATTTTCAGGGACGCTGGAACCCCTGTTTTAATATTTTTAAAATTGAGCTATCAGTTCAACAGAAGTCAAGAAGATCTGGGAGACTCTTCTAGAACTGGGACTCTCCCCTGGGACCGATTCTGCTCCCCACCCCTCGCCCCCCACCCCACCCCCCGGGACACAGGCAGTGTCTGGAGCACCTCTGACCGTCATGACTGGAGGGTGCTGCTGTCACCCAGGGAGCAGAAGATCGCCCCGGTCAGCCCTAGCAAGAGCTGCCCTCCCCGCCCCAGGTGCTGCCCCGGGACCTCCCCCAGAGGGGGAGTGCTGGTCTGCTAGGGTCTCTCCATTCCCACCTCTGCAGAGCCAGGATGGAAGACCCAGGTGCCTGCCTGCGCCCTCCCTCGTCTGTCACTAACATAAACAAAACCTTTTATTTGGTGCTGACGTGTGGAAAGCTCCACAATTTAAGCCCGGTTGGATAAAAATGTATTTGCCAATTCTGGCTCATATTTCAAGTTACCATTAAGTCACACATGAGTTCCTAATTCTACGTAGACTACTAACTCACTTCCTGGCGCAAGCCGCTCAGACCTTCTTAGCAAGAGAAAGGAAGAGAAGACTCTGTGATTTCTTAAGAGGCGGCCAAGCAGAAGTGCAGCAGAGCAGGAAGCTGGACGCGTGCAGGAACCCAGCGAATCCGCGGCTTTCCCAGCAGGAAGCCAGCGTCCAGCCACCAGAATGCACCCAGAGAGCAGCCAGCATTAAACAAGGGAACGGTCACAACTGTGACTCAAATTACCAAAGACCACAAGATTAATCCGGCATTAGCTTATTAAAAAGTCAGTGTGTATTTTAAATGCACGTTGTAAGTGAAGTATGGTAGCATTTATGCTCTCTTATACACTGAGCAGGCTGCAGGCAGCACGGTCTATTGAGAAGGTCTCGATGAATTACAGTCGATCTCTTCTGTCTTTCCCTAAAACCCTTGAGCCTAGCACAGTATCTGTGAGGTCTGAAGAGAGGGGGACATTGCTCCTTCATGTAGTCCACCAAAGAGTTTGAGAAAAAGACCCCTGACGTTCAAGTGATGAAAACACTCCTCAGAAGAGCCAAAGACTGTGGGGCCCTGGAGTTGTCACTTGTCAGCTCCAGCGTCCTCACTCCCCGAAAGCTGCATTAGCCAATGTCATGTCCTCTGAGATTCTTGCAGAGTTAAAAGGTAAGGACATCCACTTAACTGAAGTGACATTTGGGTGGGATGCAGGGGCTGAGGGGTGGGCTGGACAGTAACAACTGGCTTGCAAAATTCAAGAGTTAATAATCAGCTTTTGTGCAGCAGCGGGAGTTGGCTCCATCCAGCAAGTACATCACTGCAAAAATGCTTTTTATAAACAAAGTTAGGACAACTTAAGCCCAGAACAGATATTTCCTAAGTCAAATAAAATCAATGGGAAATATTATGGGACCCTGTGGGGCCAAGTGAGGTTGGATTTTGGTTCCTGTATCTCTGGGACCAACAGGGCTGCACACCGTGGGCTGATGTCACTGGTGCCACCATCTCCCGAGGCTGGTCATGGGCCAGCTATGCTGAGACTCAGGCTCTCAACCGGGGCAGTGGGCCCAACCCACAGCAGCTCACAGGGCCCGCCGTGAAGCTCACAGGCTCACCATGAAGGTGTGAATGAAGTGAGCATGGACAAGAGAGGAGGGCCTAGCACACAGTGATGCTTCTCCAACTCCTGAACATCAAGCACCACACAGGCACAAACTCAGAATGTGCACTTAGAAATGCTGTTCCTAACAGAACACAAGAGCAGAAGCCTGAACAGGCTGAGCTACATCTCACACACATGCTGCTAACACATGAACACCTAAAGCCGCCGTTCACCCACCACGGAAACAGTGGGCTGCCACCCTTTCTTGTCCAGCTCCACAGCGATCTCAGATGCACGTGGATGCAGTGGGGGCTGCAGCCAGGCACCTGCTGTCACGCTGTTGAAGGCCAACGCACTCGCCTTAATTCTACTGCATTTACAAGATCGATGGTTTCAGTAGCCCACAGGGATATGAAAATATTTGCCACACAATGTTTTACTCATCAAAGGGTGAGAGGAAATCTGGTTCAATGCTAATTGTTAATGTTTTTTAGTTGTCTGCTTAAGTTATAAAAGACTTTTTGAAATTTTTTAGGTTATAAACTTTTATCACTAAAAGTTAAAAATATCACTTTAAATTTTAGATTGCCATAAGTAAGTTTAAACAGATTTTAGTCTGTTTTAGTACTAAGTCACCTTCTTGCCAAGGATACTATTATCTCTCCAATAAGCTGAACTCAGTGACTGCACAATTTCATCTTTCTGATCAGTCTACTCCCATCTCAAACAGTCGCGTACGATGTCCCCTCTACTCAGAGGGCAGAATTCGGAGAGACCAAAGTCCTTCCTCCTTTAAGTAGATGACAACTTCATGAAATCCACTGCCAAAACTTGACTAGAACGGGGCGGTGTTGTGGTGCAGTGCGTTAAGCTGTCACCCGCAGTGTTGGTATCCCATATGGATGCCAGCGCGAGTCCTGGCTGCTCCACTTCTGATTCAGCTCCCTGTTAATGCACCTGGCAAAGTAGTGGAGGATGACTCAAGTGCTTGGGCCCCTGACACCTACATGCAAGACCCAGATCGAATTCCAGGGTCCTATCTTTGGCCTGACCCAACTCTGGCCATTGCAGCCACTTGGGGAGTGAACCAGTAGATGGAAGACCCTTTCCCTTTCTCTCTCTCTCTCTCTCTCTCCTCTCTTTCTGTAACTCACCAATTCAAATTAATTAATTAATTAAAAAAAAAAAAAACTAGAAACTGCAAGGTCCTTCTTCCTCATACAAAAGATAGAACTCACAGACATAATTTTTTCGGGAGCTTGCCAAAGGTCAGACAGTTCTTTCTATTCGTGATCTTTTCTCCATGTGATTTTGTACAAACCCCATGAAATGATGTTTCCATTTTTATAAACTGCTTCAAATCAGTAATTATCTAAAAGTAGGAGATGTGGTTAGGAACACGGATTACCCTGACGTTGTTAACCGGATGCCAACTCTAAAGCCCCTGTGACTGCAGGAGATGTGGTCAGCCAGCACGCAAAGACCCTCTGCTCCAGTCTCTCCTCGGGGCTGTCCCTGGCACAGCGTGCGGCACAGGAATACCAGCACTGTGCGGATCTGCTCACACCGGCTGGTACCAGAGTCGAGCTGTTCTGAGGCCCTCGGCACCCTCAGCGAAGCCTGGCCACTCTGCAACTCGTCCCAAGTGAGGGCGACTGTGGAGGGCACCCGGGGGGCGGCAAGCAGCCATGGTGCTGCTGGAAGGAGGGGACTACCTGGTGTCATGGGCACTGCTGGTGGGTTTGGGCGGTGCGCAGTCGCCGCCAGAGGGGCCAGGGCGACCGGTGGCAGCGGTGGCGGCGGCGGCGGTGGCAGCAGCAGGGCCGCCGTGGCTCCGCGCCTCTGAAGGCCCGCTCCGGGTGCTAGGACGAGAGGAGAAGCTTCAGGAACACAGGTGGGAAAGCGGGGTGGATATGCGAACGGTTTCAGTTCAAAACAAAACAAAAATACTTAAAAATATAAAATGCAAGTTGTTCTGTGACCATCAGCTCTAGGTGGGGAAAAATTTTTGATGCTAGTATGTCAGCCCTAGTATGGGCTGACAAATAAGGGTCAATTTAAAAAGTGAGGACGCTCACCAGCACGAGATGCAGAAATGCCACCACATTCAGGACAGCGACTGTGCAAGCGGCCGCGCGTGACGCCACCGCAGGGGCCACGCACACACGTCAGGCCTGCAGGCCAGGCTGCCTCTTCTCCATTATGAAAGGGATATTCACCGTTTCCTTTTTCAAACGTTTACTGTGCACACTGGCATCTGTTTTTCTAAGGTCATTTTTCAGAGAAAAACAAGGCAAGAATTGCTGCAGAGCCAGAAGCAATTTAGTAGCTGGAGGTTGTGAGTAAGACCGAGAGGCTGGGTTATCTCAAAAGGACAGGCGTGTCCTGGATTGCACAGCGACTGCTCCTGCCCCGAGGGCCCGGGTTGTCTCAGGAAAAGGCACACTGGGCTCCGAGAGGCCCAGAGGCAGGAGACAGGACACACGTTCAGCATTCAGCTCTCAGGGTGAGCAGCCAGTACCTGAATCCCTCTGGAGTCGGGATAATCAGATGAGGGTTGGGCGGGTCGCTGTGGCACCGAGGCACCTTCACAGGGCGGGGGCTGTTCCGGTGAATAGCTGTCAGGGAAGACGGCGACACACGTCAGGGGGATCTGAAACCAGGCTGCTAGATGTTCCCAGTGACCCAAAGAAATCCGCTCACGTATGTAACACATCAGCTTATGCGCACCAACGCCACAGGAAGTGCCACTCTTTAAGATGACAGGTCCCTATCTCATTCTAAATTTTTCTCTATCGAAAACATTTTATGGGGGCCAGCACTGGGGCACAGGTTAATCCTCCACTTGCGGCACCGGCACCCCATATGGGCGCTGGTTCTAGTCCCAGCTGCTCCTCTTCCAATCCAGCTCTCTGCTGTGGCCTGGGAAAGCAGTAGAAAATAACTCAACTCCTTGAGCCCCTGCACCCAAGTAGGAGACTGGGAAGAAGCTCCTGGCTCCTGGCTTCAGATGGGCACAGCTCTGGCCTTTGCGGCCATCTGGGGAGTGAACCAACGAAAGGAAGACCTTTATCTTTGTCTCTCACTCTCACTGTCTGTAACTCTGCCTCTCAAATAAATAAATCTTAAACACACACACACACAGTTTATAAATCCTCACATGAATCGTACATAATGAATGCTAAAGAGATGATTCAACTCATTTCAGAGATGAAATGGGGCTTTGGGCAAGACGTTCTCCAGGTTACTGACCCTCTACAAAGGTTCTGGTCAGTGGCCACCCACAGCCCCAGGCTAGGGTCTCAGTCACTCCCTGAGAACTGCGGTTTGCCTTACCCTCTCTGTGCCAAAGCAGGTGGGCAGTGTATAGTGTGACTGGGCAATGTGTCTCCCCAAACCATGCTGACTTCTCTTCTCCTTTTAAATGCTTTGGTGGGAGTTAAATATGGATGCAAGTTAAAATGAAATTCCAAAACATGACAATATTTGAACTGAAATTTTCAAACTAGGTGTCCACACCCGCAGTTACAAAAATGTTGACCAGTCCACTTTCCCAGCAATTAAGGCTGTTTTCTCCTAACCAGCTTTTCTCCTCTTCAAATTATCTGTCTTAACACTGCTTATCTTTTTGACGTCCTCCTTTTGTCTTCTTCGGTTAATCATTTTAAGCCTACAGACAGTTCATCCTAAAGAGGCTTCATCTGAAACAGAAATTTTCTCCTTCGCGGTCTCATGGGCTTCCTTTAAATGACATTACCCAGGAGAGGCAGAAACACCGAAAACTGACAGATCTGAAGTTCCCCGGCAAAACTCGCAAAACAAAATCCTGGTGAGCCGTTTATAAAACTTCAGGTCCTGGGACACCAGCCGCACTATCTCAAAAATTACTATGCAAAGTGGAAGACTTCCAATAGCAACAAAGTAAAGAAACGCAACAAAGGTGATGGGGGATGAGGACTTCAGTGAAGGCACTAGGAACCACTGAGCGGACAGCTGCCACCAGGCTCCCACGGAGGATGCCAACCAAGACATTCTGTTTCTAAAAGTGCGGGCTGGCGCTGTGGTGCAGCGGATTAAGGCCAGGCCTGCAGTGCCAGCATCACACATGGGTGCCGGTTTCGAGTCCTGGCTGCTCCTCTTGTGATCCAGCTCCCTGCTTACAGGATGGGAAAGCAGTGGAAGGTGGCCCAAGTGCTTGGACCCCTGCACCCACGTGGGAAGCCCGGATAAAGCTCCTGGCTCCTGGTTTCAGAAGGGCTCAGCTGTGGCCATTGTGGCCATTTGGGGAGAGAACCAGGAGATGGAAGACCTCTCTCTCTCTCTCTTTACCTCTCTCTGTCACTCTTTCAAATAAATAAATCTGTCTTTAAAAAAATGCACATACACAAGGTTAACACTCTACATGCACAAAACAAAGCATTTCTTTTAAGAGTGTGTATACTTGGGCCGGCGCCGCGGCTCAATAGGCTAATCCTCCGCCTTGCGGCGCCGGCACACCTGGTTCTACTCCCGGTCGGGGCACCGGATTCTGTCCCGGTTGCCCCTCTTCCAGGTCAGCTCTCTGCTGTGGCCAGGGAGTGCAGTGGAGGATGGCCCAGGTGCTTGGGCCCTGCACCCCATGGGAGACCAGGAGAAGCACCTGGCTCCTGCCATCGGTTCGGCGCGGTGCGCTGGCTGCAGCGCGTTGGCCGCGGCGGCCACTGCAGGGTGAACCAACGGCAAAGGAAGACCTTTCTCTCTGTCTCTCTCTCTCACTGTCCACTCTGCCTGTCAAAAAAAAAAAAAAAAAAAAAAAAGAGTGTGTATACTTCATGTGGCAAAACTGTGAAAATTCACTGGAAACAAATGAGCAAAAATTAGATAGGCATTCAAATTTCACTGGTGGTGAACGTTTATCACTGAGATGCTTCTCATGGCCATAGTACACGAAAGCCCACAGAGAAGTTGTAGGAGGGATTACGGTACTCCACATGGCCACGATGTGGGTGCTGAAGAGAATCAGAGCTGCACCTGCAGACTTGGAGGGACCTCTTCAACGGTCAGGTAAGAAAGGAGATTAACATCCAGTAGGATCCAAGTCTGTACCGTAACTGGCAGGAAAACAAGCTTATGTGTGCACAGAACAGCATGTGCTAGGACGAGTTTGTGCAGAAAACATGCCAGGTTACCTCCTAGAGCAGGACAGGGAGGAGACCAGGAGGAAGTACCTGGCTCCTGGCTTCAGATCAGCACAGCACCAGCCGTGGCGGCCATTTCGGGGGTGAACCAACAGAAGGAAGACCTTTCTCTCTGTCTCTTTCACTGTCTAACTCTATCTTTCAAATAAATTAAAAAAAAAAAAAAAACTGCTCTACTAATTTTCTATAGCTGGCAATCACCCTTTAAGCTAGTGATATTCAATAAATCTACCATTCATGAATATTTGCTATAGTCTGAATAATATAAAACAAGTAAGTTTTCATTTTTGGGTGTTTGACTTATAAGTACAGTTTTATTTACACACTACACCAGGAATGATGTAAAACAGAGCCTTTTGTTGATATGTATATATGCATATATGTATATATACATATATGCGTATATACATATATACATATGTGTATATATACACATAATATACACAAATATATATACAACATACACACATACATATGTGTGTATATTGTGTATATATATACACACACATATGTGTGTATGTATATATTGTGTATATATATATTTCAAGTTTCAACATATACTCAAAAATTGTGCATTAATGGAATGGAAAATTAAGTAATGTATACCATCATATAATAACTTGATTTTTTTAAAACAGTAGAATCCAGGACTGGCACCGTGCAAAGAGGGTAAAGCCACTGCCTTCGACAAAGGCACCCCACCATGTGGGTACTGGTTCAGTTCCCAGCTGCTCCACCTGCAGTCCAGCTCCCTGCTACTGTGCCTGGGAAAGCAGCAGAGGAGGACCCAAGCACCTGGGCCCTGCACCCATGTGGAGGACACAGCAGCTCCTGGCTTCTGGCTCCGAACTGGCCCAGCTCCAGCCATCGCAGCCATTTAGGGAGGAACCAGCAGAAGGAAGATCTCTCTCCATGTATCTCTCCCTCTCTCTCTCTGCCTTTAATTAAACAAATAAATCATTAAAAAAAAAAAAAAGGTAGAACCGAATCGGAATTGGCCATAGCTTGTGGGGCAGTGGGTACACAGGTAAACTGTGAGGCAACAAACGGCCTCCTTGAGGAGATGAAGCAGCAGGGCCGGAAAACCCCTGCCCCTGCAGCAGGGAGCCCCTGCCGCCTGCAGCAGACACCTCTTCCAGTCTTCCTGCCCTGTGGGCAAAACTTCAACGGGAGAGAATGGCTGTGCCGATGCAGAACAAACAAAACAGTTCCACCTGCTGGCTGGCGTGGAGCAGCTTCTGGCGCTGGCCTTCTGAGCTCCCTGTCCAGACGCACCAGGGTCAGGGTGGCGTCCGCCACTGCTTACCTCACAGCCGTCACCTTCACTGCTGTCTTCCTGAGCATTCTCAAAACACCTTTTGTGCCATTTTACAGGGTGGTGATCACAAGACGACGTGCTCATCCAAACCATACGACCCAGAGGAGGGCTGTGAGGCTGTCTTACCAAGGTACAAACCTGTGACAGGACTGTGTGGCTTTCCTATGACGTGGCCAATACACTCATTCATCAGGGCTTGCAGGCTCTAGAAGCCAAAGGAAAACCGGCAAGGAGAAAAAGGACAGATGTACTAATTAACGGTGTTAGTAGCACAAATTGGTTCCAGCATAATTAAAAGAAGCATGCTACATTTTCAAAGTTAGTTCTTTAAAAAAAAAAAGATATAAACATAAATTAAACATAGATCATACATAATTTCCAATAATATAGTCTATAATTCCATTTTATTTTATACATAAAAAAAAATCAGCAGCCAGTTCCCCACCCTGCAGTGACGCGCACGAGCACCGGGCTTTCCACGGCATCCGCTCTGCTTACTACGGGGAGGGTGGGAGGAAGGAGCTCACATTCTAAACAACACCTTTCTGGTCTGACGCGGTTTATCTATGAGCAACACTTCCACTGGCGCTATGCCCCCCAAATGACGTTCACAATGCCCAGTAATGTGGGACAGCTCAATACTGCTCTTCCTCAGACTGTCACAAAGAAGGAACCAAGGAGGCAGCTTATAAAATATAAAAGTGGCAAACATTGCAGAAGCACCAGGTTTGTAAACAGCCTGGCACTGGCGTGGTCAGGTGGACACTGCTGTTTCACAGGAAGGCAAGAGGAAGATAGTATAATGCAACTGAGAGTGCTTTAACATCTCAGCAGTGCCGTGATAATGACATTACAAATACTAAGAACCTCTATTACATGTTTAAAAATACATAATCAGGGAACAGAGAGTGAGTAGTTTATTTCTAATGAAAGAAATTTTAGGGCATTCCTACCAAGAAGTCATCTTCTGGCAAGGCTGAAATAAAGACGGGCTCAATGGCTTGGAGAAAATCAAATCCTTGGGTCGCCCACCTGTGACGCGAGAAGACACAGCACTCACTAAACACCAACAACAAGCCGTGGTAGATTACACAAAACTTACAAATAATCCAGCGGGACAAAACACAATTTTTTGTCTTTATGTAAATGCCTGGGTTGAGTAAATTCATAGTGTGACCGCTGGGCCAGGAGGACAACATGGCTTTCCTTTCTTGGAGCCCAGGGAAGCATTTTAGAAGAGATGGGTGCTATTTGTACTTCAACAATCACATGAGCTGTGTAAGGTAAAGGGCCAAGCTGTAGTCCCAGGTGTACCACATTTGTGTTTTCTCTAACTTGGAAGATGCCCTGGAGTGTCCCAAGCACCAGTGTCCCTAAGCGCCACCATGAAACAGGCGGCTCCCTCTCACCAGGCACCAGCCCTCAGCAGTCTTGTGCTACCGTGGGGCCACCACCGGGCCTCACGGGTGCTCTACACACTTCCCCAGCCAACTCAGGACTCCTCATTTACACCAAGGAACAGGCTTAACGTTCATGTGGGAGGTCAAAGGGTCAGCACACAGGAAGCCCTGACCAGGGAGAATGGAAGTTCCCTCCAAGATAGCTCATTTGAGGCACAGCAGGAGAAACTGACCCTGGTGACACCTGCGTCCCATCAGACGCGGGCTCAAGTCCCCGCTTCTCCAGCTTAGATCCAGCTTCCTGCTAATGCATCTGCAAGGCAGTAGGTGACAGCTCAAGAGCCTGGGCGCCCGCCACCCACGTGGGAAACCAGAGGGAGTTCCAGGCTCTTGGCTTCAGCCTGGCCCAGCCCTAGCTATTACAGGCATTTGGGGAATAAAACAACAGAAAGCAGAGTGCTCTCCCTCGGTTGCTCTGCCTTCCAAACAGATGAAAATAAACATTTAAAAAGGAAAAAAAAAACAAAACTTAGTTTGGAACTTTGTAAAACAAAGTTTCTGAGAATTATGAGGTTTTTGCCTGTGTACAGTTGCATTTAATAACACTAGTCACCAACAAGTTCACAATGCTCCTTTTGGTGTCATCTGCCGGAAATTAAATCCAGCACACAGGAACAAAACAGCTCCAAGCCCACACGACTTGTGCTGCAAACAACCTACTTGGTTGTTACCTGGGTCGGGTGCCTCTGCCACTCTCACATTTAGTCAGCACGTAATTCATCCACTTCCGGGCAAAGCTGATGTATTTGTCTCCTATCTTCTGTCTAAACTCCCCAGACATCAATCGAACAACTTCTTTATGATACTGCAGAAAGATTTCATAAATGTCAAAGTTATAGTAATTACAGTAATTCCTACACACAATCAAGCTTTGTCTGTTTTAAGTGTCAATTGCTACAAAATCTAGAACACACAATCCAATTATGTAAAATTTGCATGAGGGGGTCTTCAAATGGTTCATGGAAAACGCAAGAAAACCATGCACGGATTTCACACTGTTTCGTACCAAAACAGAAATGCTGTCTGTTCTGGACGGGATCTGGTCTGCAGGGCCCAGGAGAAGAGAACGATCTGGAAAGAGCCCGATCAGAGCAACAAGGTTCCGCTGAGGGTGAAGCGGGAACAGACATTAAATTCATGGCGAAGCAGTGAGCTTGTGAGGCTGACCAGCTGACCACTGATGGTTTGTGAGGCTGATCAGCACGATGCCCCGAAAGACGAGCAGTTGTTCAATAGTGATTCCCACAAAGGGTGGGCAGTTCTTCAAACAGCGACTTCTACACAAGGGGTGAGCCGGTGCTGAAGAGGCAGCCGGCAGAGGCCACCATCCAGGCGGCTCACAAGCAACAGCGTCCCCACGGACCTGTCGATTCTGACAGAACAAGAGCAGAGCTGCCGACGGAAGCTGTGAGAGAGGGGTCACGATGCTGAAGCAGTCCGCCCACGATGTAACAGGACTGACCGTGGCTGCAGCAGCACGGCCCTGAAGCAGTCCGCCCACGATGTAACAGGACTGACCGTGGCTGCAGCAGCACGGCCCTGAAGACAAAGCACACTCAAAGCAAAGGCTGCCACGAGCAGGACGACCGCGTCGGGCGCAGCCGAAGCGCAGCGTCTGCAGCCAAGTCCCAGCAGCGGCTCCTGGCCTCACAGAGGGACGGAGATAGCAGCTGCTTGTCAGGAGAGCGCTGTGAGAAACCAGACAGAGCTCGGGCAGAAAACGCCCAGGAGAGCCTCGCCGGGGAGCCCTCCTGCCCGCCGTTCCTCTCGTCCAGCAATGGCCGCCTCACGAGCGCGCCAAAGAAAAACCATTAGGCGTCCGCCCCACCGTCCTGACTTGGCTCTGTCTCGTTTTTGCCTCTAACGTTAAGAAACCTCCTCCAGGAGCACTCACTTCTTGGGTTAGGAACACAAAGCAGACCGGGTTGGCACGGCTGGACACCCAGAACCTCAGCTCTCCAGGACGGACCAAACGCCGGCATCCGGCGCCTACAGGAGCGCCTTGACCCGGATGCAGCTCATGCTGGAAACAAAACTTGAAGCTTGTACTTCTATTTTACTTTTGATTCCATTTTCCATGAACCCTTGAAGTCCCCCCATGCACTCTGAACAGTGTGAAGACAGACAGAGAAGATGGGATTTCAAAATGCAGCTCCATAAATATTTTGCTTGTAAGTTTAAAAATTAAGAATTATTTTTATGATATCAAACATCTCTTTTAAAAGTTTTAAAATGCAGTAGTTAGTTTTGAGTGCAAAATTAAAACTGGGCAGCTACCTGACCGTTTGCAAGCAAACACTTCCCAGGTTCAGGAGTGGGACAAGAGCCGTGCCTGTCCCGCTGGGTTGCAGCTGGCACAGAGCTGCAGGCCAGCTGCACAGCAATGACTGCAGCGTGCTCCCCCGCGTCGGTGCCTACCTCGAACCCGAAGTTGTAGCCCTGAATCATGGCCTCGCGGTGGTACTGCTGCAGGGTGACAGACTCGGACTCGTCCACTTCCGCGTCGAACTCTGACGTGAACATGTGGTCCACTCGGTCAATGGTGTCGCTTATTCTGCTGCACAGCTCCAAGGCATCATTCTGAGGAGCCCCAAACCACGGTTAACCCGAAAGGAGGCAACCCCACCATGCTTACTGCACTAGAGGGGAGTTCCCTGTGACCACGCCAACCCGACTCAGGTCGTCACAGGGAATGACTGGGGGGCACATTACTTCCATTTTCACTTGTCTCAGGCATTCTTGAGCACCGCATGAAATACAAGAGGGGCCAGCGCTGTGGCTTGGTGGGCTAAGCTTCTGCCTGCAGTGCAGGCCTCCCATATGGCACCAGTTCGAGTCCTGGCTGCTCCACTTTCAATCAAGCTCCCTGCTGATGTGCCTGGGAAAGCAGTACAAGATGGCCCAAGTGCTCAGGCCCCTGCACCTGTGTGGGAGACCCAGATGAAGCTCCTGGCTTCTGGCTTCTGATTGGCCCAGTTCTGGCCGTTACAGCCATTTGGCGAGTGAACCAGTAGATAGAAGACCTCTCTCTCTACCTCTCCCTCTGTCTGTTAACTCTGCCTCTCAAATAAATAAATAAAATCTTAAAAAAAAAAAGTTTTTAAAAAAATACAAGAGAAAAGCTCCATGTAATACAGTAATGCCAAATGACCATCTGGTCTTTGAATGGATGCTGCATTTTCTCATGTGAACCTCCAGAGACATTTCTGGCAATTTCTGGAAATACTTGGGGTTGTCCAAACTTGGAGGAGGGTGTGGCCTCTACCGGCATCTGTGGGTAGAGGACCGGGAATCCACTGAACATCCTACAGTGCCCGGGACGGACCCCATGGCCAAGAATCATTAACCCAAAATGTCAATGCTATCGAGGACAGGAAACCAACCCTAATTCGAGCTTGTGCTGCCTGAGCCATGCCCCATGGGCTCCACACTGACCCCCTCCCAGGTCCTGAAACACACATGTATCCCTCCTAGGTTTCATATCCGAGTCACGGCACCATTATGTCGCTCCCCTACTCGCGGAGGAACGACACTAGACCCTGCGCTGTTCTTTTGTCTGCTCGGCCCTTCCCGGGTTTGCTGCTGGTCCTTCCCAGGTTGGCTGCCGACCCCTCCACCTCCGTGGAGGGGCGGCACCCCCTGCCACTTTCCCCACTTCTGCGGAGGAGCGGCACACCGCTGGCCGGCTCTCTCGGGGGCTGCTCAGGTGTTCCTTCAGATGTTCCTGGTGCATGTTGTCTCTCTCCTCCTTTATAGTCCTCTTCCACCAATCCCAACTCTGCTACCCACACGCCGAGTACGCTGCTCTCCTCCAATCAGGAGCAGGATCAGCTCCTGCAGCTTATCAAACTGATGAGGCAGCTGCGTAGTTGTTTTACTCCTCCCCAGCGCCATATTGTGGGAGAGCAGATGCATAGCATAAGTCTTAATTCCAGTAACTTAGCCTAGTCTCAGTTGCTCCCCACAACATGTGCATACGTGTTCTCCCATCAGGGAATACCTCAAGTGCTATGGCAAAATCTTCCAAAATCTTGACTCCCGTACTTCAGAAAATAAAATCTGGCCTCTCTCAACAAGGTGGTTTTTGCCCACCTCATTTGCCAGTCTCATCTCCTGCCACTTTCCAACGTGTGCCTCAGGACACAGCCATTCAGGCTGTGTGACACTCAGGGAACCATGGACACCTACGCCCAAGGGCTCCTCTGCTATTTCCCTCCCAATCTGCATCCCTGGGGATCCTCCCCGGTGCAGTTCCCAGAGGCCTACAGGGCCCAGTCTCCCCCGCGCTGGTACTTCAGGGGGCAGTCCAAGGGTCTACACTCCTCGAGCTCAGGAATAATCCCATCCTAACGAACCCTGCACTCTCCAGAGGCCTACAGGGCCCAGTCTCCCCTGCACTGGTACCCCAGGGGGCAGTCCAGGGGTCTACACTCCTCAAGGAGTCTACACTCCTCAGGAATAACCCCATCCTAACTAACCCTGTGCTCTCCAGAGGACCCTAGTTCAGACCAGAAGATAAAACCGCCTTCTCTGGCATTAGGGTGGGACTACAGGCTATAACAGAGAGAAACAGCTTGTCCAAGTTTCCAAATTAAAAAGAGAACAATGCTTATCAACGGCATGTGATTCCACAGAGTGCTTCTCCTTCAGGGTGTCTAGCTCCTGTGACTGACAGGGCAGGACACCACAGAGAGCTGTCTGAAGCCAAGACCAGTAACTGGGCACAGAATGGAAAGGGGTGAAACAGAAAAGAAGGGAAACAATGCAACGTTCTGGCTTTCTGTAAACTCTGAAAGCCTCTGTGCCTGTCTGCAACTATGTTGTTCAATTATAGTTAATTTGGCAGAATTAGTTCAAAAAAGAAATCAATCAACCTTTCAGATTTACATTACCAATATGGACAATCTCAAATACGCTCACTGCTAACTGCTGAAGGACAAAGAAAGTCACATCAGGAATGGAGAGACCTGAATTCCAACCTCAGCTTCGCCACTAAGCAGCCTGTGACCAGTGTGAAATCACCGAATGGCTGTTTTCTATCCCACAGCTGCAGGGTCCCGGCGAGCGCCAGGACTTTTCCAGTCTGATGTGGACAAACGTGAAACGGGGAGACAGACAGCACGAGGGAGCCGCCGAAGAGCTCTGGTACCTTCAGCTGCTGCAGAGCTTTGGCGATGACGGGCTGACTGGACGTCTGCTCCTGGCGCAGGGTCACGAGCCCCTCGATGGACTGCTGGAAGGCCTTTCTCTGCATGGTGAGATGGGCAGACTGCATGACAACCAGCAGGAGGTTGTCCACCTGGAAGGAGAACCACACACAGGTCATGAAAGCAGACCAGTGACAAGTCCCGCTCTAGCTCCAGGCCCACTCCTTCAGGGCGACCAGGCCAACAGCCACCTGCCCAGAGTCCCTTTCAAGCAAAGCCACTCTCACAGGGCAAGGCACTGCAGCGGGCACAGGTGGCTGCATCATCAGCACACTGGAGAAGAATCCCCAGGGCTGTGGGGGCACAGCATCTCCAAAACATCCCAGAACTTAACCCTGCTGCTGCACACGCGTGTGTGTGACACACATGTGCACAATGCGCGTGTGTGAGACAGCGGCATGTGAAGAGCAAAAGGCAGGAGTGAGAGTGATGGGATGAGATGAAGGACTTTGTAGGAAACAGAGAGAGAGAGAGAGAGAGACTGTATTATTTTTATTCTTCAGGAGACAGGGCCGCCTCCGTGTTCTGAGTACACCGTGATGTGATCAATGCACACGTGATAACCATTCTAGGAGCACCAAAACAAGCAAACACAGAGCTGGAGGGCGTGTGAAGCTGGGAAGCCGGTGAGTAGCCGAGCAGCGCGGGAAGGGCTGCAAGGCCCTGACCACCGCAGTGGGGACGCAGGGGAACATTCACTTCCTCAATTCCTGGAAACGCTTGCAGCTGGCAGGGCTACTGACGAAGGGTGGAGACGGAGTCTGTATCAACTGTCACCTCTGATTTGAACAAGTGGACGGCCTGCCACTCACTGAGGCAGGCAAGGCAAGAGGGGACCAGAGGCCTTGGGGCAGGGGAGGCAGCAGGCCAGCACACCGTCCTCCGGTCAGGCTGAGTCTGAAGTGCACGGGAACACACCCTAAGCTGGACACTGCCCTTAAACTGAACACAGCAACACGCGCAGGCTTCCTAAGCTTAACTAGTGAGTTACATCAACTGTCCTGGGCTCCCTGGTGGGTTAGGTAGATCATGAATGCCTACCATAAAAAATGCAATCTAGGGGCCGGCACTGTGGCATAGCAGGTGAGGCCCACTGCCTGTGATGCCAGCATCCCACATGGGTGCCAGTTCGAGACCTGGTTGCTCCACTCCTAACCCAGCTGCCTGTTTGTGCATCTGGGAAAGCAGTGGAGGATGGCCCAAATGCTTGGTTCCCTGTACCCACGTGGGAGACATGAAAGAAGTTCCTGGCTCCTGGCTCCAGCCCAGCCCAGCCCCAGCCCTTGAGGCCATTCGGGGAGTGAGCCAGCAAAGACAGGATCTGAATTTCGATCTCTCTCCCTCTCTCTTTCTGTCTCTGTAAGTCTGCCTTTCAAATAGATAAATAAATCTTAAAGAAAAAAAAGAAAAGAAATCGATTAAATAAGCAGGAAACCAGATCACCCAGAGAACTCCGAGATTCTGAAACCACAAATCCCACTAGTGAGACAACTCCTTTTTGACAGCGGCTCTGCAGACTTAACTGCAAGATCAAACTAAGGACCCGTATAATAGAAGGTCTATTTCTATTATGTGCTTGACAGAATTTGCTAGAATACTGCAGCACCAGAAATGCTGCAAGCTTCCCTATTGAAGTTCTCAACAGTCAGACAAGCCCCACGAGCTGCGGACAGCTCACTCTGGCTAGAGGCGGGCAGAGGGAGACACACCTGCATGCTCCTCAGGGTGTCAACCGTCTCCACCTGGGGCACGACTTTGACCGGCTGCGCCTCCCAGGCGCCCCAGCGGTCATCGGCGGCGCGGGCCCGGGCGTTCTGCTTGCTGAGGAGCAGGTGGGCGTCGACGAGCGTGTCGTCCGAGTCTTTGGAGCAGTCCTTCCCGGCCGCGGCGTTCAGCAGCTGCAGGATCAGAGTCTTCTCCCCGGCCAGCGCGTCCGGAACAAACACCTGCAAGCTCTCCAGCCCAGGAATCTGCACCTGCAGATGGGAGAACCTCAATGTCACGTCAGGAACACCGCGCAGGACAGAGACAGCTCCCTGAAGAAGCCAGCTCGGAGAAGGGCGCGGGCACCGAGAAGGGCACCGAGGGAGAGCGAGGAGGTGCCGCGGGGACCGGACGGGCAGGGAGAGGGCATCGTCCTCAGGGCATCGTCCTCGTCATTTTGTTTTCAACAACAAAGACAGACTCTGAGGGGTGCGGGCTGCGATGCTGACAGAGTGAACCCCGACTCAGCACAAAGGCAAGGGTGTAGCACGGGTCCACTCGCTTGCTCTCGCGGGGGAAAGAGCACAAGGCTCTTGAAACCACGCCCAGGCTGACTGGCATTTCCACCCACAACGTCTTGTTCTCAACAGCCTCTGAAGGCGCGGAGTCAACAACCCAGGGCGGTGAAGACAGCGACTCAGAAAGCGCCGATAACAGCCGGGCCGTGTCGGCACAGGCTCAGGCTGACTTCCGAGCCACCTCAGGAAACGCACACGTGAACACAACCACTGCTAAGACACTGTCCTTCTACACAAATCACTTGAGATCTACACACACACATATATAAAAAACATTAAATAGCATGAGTAAGTATTCATTTATCTGCATTCTTAAGGCAAAGTACTAAGTATGCAAAACCCAGTTAAAGATTTCCCTGAAAAGCTATGGGACAGTCCTACAACGGGGACTCTCCAGACCCCTAAGAAACAGGTCGTCTGTTTTAGAGCACAGTGGGAAGGCAGAGTGGTTACCTTAACATACTGCTTTGATTTCAGAACATCCAGGAGGTCTCTAACTGGGGCTGCAAGGACGAATTCTGCTGCTATTTCCAGGTCCTAGGGTCACCAAGAAACCTCGTTAGGGTTAGTGTACTTAAAAAAAAAGGAAAAGAAAAATAATTCATCAGGATTTGTAAACTCACCTTTCTCAACATTTTAGCGAATCCCAGTGCTTTCGAAGCTCGTTCTCTGGCTTCGTGAAAGAGCTCCTTCAGCGCCCGGCTGATCTCAACCACGGACCTCCTGCCAAGTGCACAGAAGTCCAGTCAGGACGCAGGGTCCACGCCACAGGTGCGAAAGCACTGAACATCAGAGGTAAAGCAAATTCCAAAGCACAGCAACACACAGAGGTGTGAGTGGGAGCGGCCAGCTGCTGGGAGTGTACCAGAACGTCTGGAGCTGCCTCCTGCCCACAGTCATGGGCAGCGCTGCTGTCCCTCAGCAGCACCTAACTGACCTAGCAACAGCAGGCTCAGCTTTCTGAAGGTCTCATTATGACCGTTTCTTGGAGTTTAAGGTGAGTTCTTGACTCTCAGCTCATATTCTAACCGGAAAGAAACACACACACTGCAGTCTGCTAATGTTCAACAACTGGCTCTCCCCACAAACACAGTCTTTTTTATTTTTTTTTAATTTTTTGACAGGCAGAGTGGACAGTAAGAGAGAGAGACAGAGAGAAAGGTCTTCCTTTTGCCGTTGGTTCACCCTCCAATGGCTGGTGCTGCGGCCCGTGCACCGCGCTGATCCGATGGCAGGAGCCAGGTGCTTTTCCTGGTCTCCCATGCCAGTGCAGGGCCCAAGCACTTGGGCCATCCTCCACTGCACTCCCTGACCACAGCAGAGAGCTGGCCTGGAAGAGGGGCAACCGGGACAGAATCCGGCGCCCCGACCGGGACTAGAACCCAGAGTGCCGGTGCCACCAGGCGGAGGATTAGCCTAGTGAGCCGCAGTGCTGGCCCTACACAAACAGTCTTCAGTGAAGCATGCCACTGTCTGGGGTGCAAACACTCCCATCACAGCCAAGGTCAAGGGAGCAGTCTGAGAGCACTGAGCAAGGTCAGTGCACAGTCAGCGGGGTGCACAGTCGGCTCCCTAAGGCCAGGACAGGTCAGCTCCGGGCCTCCCTTTTAGGTCGACCCCTAGCAAACAACGGGAGCAGCACAGGTGCCACCTTCTAGTTTACCATCTCGAGTGCGCGTGTGAATTCAGGATCCACAGGTTTGTTCTGATCCACCACGCTAGCTCTCAAAGCTGCAAGGCCTGGAGATTGAACCATTCCATTTCTTGGCTATCGGTGCCTCTTTACCCTCGCCATAAACCTCCCAGGTGTTCTGAAAGCCGAACTTTACATGCTCAGAGAACACATCTGAGTTCTGGAGAAGCCAGTTTCATCTGAGCACCTGCAAAGGTGACCGCGTGACACTGCTGCTGCACGGCCACAAAACGGCCGCCCGGCAGACACACACAGATGCCACACAGACAGCAACCTCACAAGGTTCCACCTAAGGAGCATCTGGATGGACGCGGAGAAAATCCAACAGGTGGCAAGCCATGAATACACTTCACCTGGAAGCTCACTAGAAGGGGTAGCTAATCATAAAAACAGCAAGAACACACCAGTGTCATGAAAATGCGCTAACGCACTGCTTGCCACAGATTTTAAAGCACAGAAACACAATATTTAGTTAAAGACGTTCCAGAAAATAAGGATGGAGATAATTCCACTCATTTTAGTCAACTTTATTCCTTCTCTAAAGGTACTATTTTTATTATATTAAATAAATTCTAGGTTCACCTTCAAAAGAAATTTCACAGAAAATCCTAAGTAAAATATCATACAAAAAAAAACAAGATGCATTAATGAATAACTTCTTCCAGTCCAACACAATCTGGTCTGAAAAGGGCTTGCTGTAAACTCACTGCCAAGAGCAGACCCACGTGAGCAAAAAAACGCAAGAGGAAGCCGCGTGCAGACCCCACCTGATTTCATCGGAAGCACCGCCGTCGTCAGCGCTGGTCCAGAACTCAGCACAGCTCTCCTGCAGGCCGAACTCTAGGAAGCTCCCCGTGGATTTCAGCAGCATTCCTGCAATGTCACTAAGGGAACAGCAATAACAAAAATAAAACAGAAGAAAAGCTGGCCTCACTCATACCCCAATTCTAGAATGAGAAACTGAAAGGTCAGCTACCACTTTAAGGGTTTGAAAAAAAAAGTGAATTCCTTAAATGCAGCTTTCTTAAAATTTCCCTTACAGTTGATTTTTATAGTCAATAAACACCAACTACTCTAAGTAGCTGATCCTTCTCACTGAATACACAATCAGAACACGAGCATCAAAATGTATCCCCCAACGTGTAATCAAACGAATGTATCAAAAATCCAGCCGCAGTCTCCTGCCCCTCTGAGGAGCAGGGAAAGGAGCTGTGGCCCAGTGTGACAGCAGCAGGCGCAGGGCGCGAGGCCAGAATCAGCTGTCGCAGGAGAGCAAACCCAGATGAAGGCACCTTGCACACCAGCTGAAGGTGCACTTTTGGCCCGAGAGCCTGCGATGGGCCTCCGAGGCAGACGCAGGATTTCAGCAGGAGAACAAGAAGGGGGCGCTGAGACGCGGGCATGGAAGAGCACCAAGAATCATCAAGAGGCACAAAGTGTGCCAATCAAATGCAAGGTTGCTGGAAGAGACCCCATCTGAAAGGAGTAGAGGGTGGCTATGCTGCAGTGGGCAGCAGAGAACTTGGAGAGTAAACCAAGGCCATGCACAGAAGGCAAGAAGCCACTTCGCTGGACCAGAGGGGGGGCTTCAAAATGAGATGGGAATTGATCTGATTAGAAACACGCTTTTTTAGGGGCTGGCGCCATGGCACACTAGGTTAATCCTCCGCCTGTGGTGCCAGCATCCCATATGGGCGTCAGTTCTAGTCCCAGCTGCCCCTCTTCCAATCCAGCTCTCTGCTATGGCCTGGGAAGAGCAGTGGAGGACGGCCCAGGTGCTTGGGCCCCTGCACCTGTGTGTGAGGCCAGGCGGAAGCACCTGGCTCATGGCTTCGGATCGCCACAGCTCCGGCCGTTGTGGCCATCTGGGAAGTGAACCAATGGAGGGAAGACCTTTCTCTCTGTCTCTTCCTCTCACTGTCTATAACTCTACCTCTCAAATAAATAAAATCTTTAAAAAGAAAAGAAAAAAGAAACATACTTCTGAGAAGAACATTAGATAAGCTCCAGGATAGAGTTACTCAACCGACACTGAGAACCTGCCATGTGCTAAGGGGCAGTGAACAAAAATGGATGCAGAAATACAAACAAAGGAGCAAAATAACTAATATTTCAGATATTCTAAGTGCTACTGAGAGGGAAAAAAGTCGAGGAGTACTTGTGGGTAGCAACTTCCACTTTAAATCCGCAGAGAAGGAAACATTTGAGAGGAACCTGAGGAAGCAGGGAAACGAGTCATGAAAATAGCTGGGAAAAAGCAGTCCAAGGAGCGGGGCCGGGCACAGCCAGCCCGAGACACGCCGCAGCCCCTGGCTGCAGAGCCAGCCCAGCAGAGGCCGGTGGGAGATGAGGACAGAGGCGGGGAAGTCGGAGGCGGCAGAGGCCGGTGGGAGATGAGGACAGAGGCGGGGAAGTCGGAGGCGGAGGGTTCCAGGTGCCCGTGCGGGGCAGGCAGGGCAGCACTCAGCGAGGGAACGGCCCGGCGTGCACTGCACAAGCTCACTGCGCTGTGCTGTGAGGAGACAGAGTAAACGAGGCAGAAGCAGGAGGACTGCTCGCAGAGCTGTCGCGATGACACACAGAAGCAACCACAGCCTGGGAAGAGTGGCAGCACGCGTGGGGAGCACAGGTCAGGTCCTGGGTGTGCCTGAGGCGCCCGCGGCGTGCATACAACAGAGAAGTCAGGCTGGGCCCTGACACAGACCAAACCCGGCGGGGGGGCGGGGGGGCAGTCTGGGAAGCAGAGGTGCTGCTCCGGCCCAGCAGATGAAATGCAGCAGAGTCCAGCGCAGGGCAGTGGGTGCAGCCATGAACGCACCTGGGAGCCCTCGGAACAGGGAACAGGAGGGCAGAGGCCACACTGCCCCCCGGAGGGGACAAGGACGGGAGGAGGGCAGAGGCCACACTGCCCCCCGGAGGGGACAAGGATGGGAGGGTGGCAGAGGCCACACTGCCCCCCGGAGGGGACAAGGATGGGAGGATGGCAGAGGCCACACTGCGCCCCGAAGGGGACAAGGACGGGAGGAGGGCAGAGGCCACACTGCACCCCGGAGGGGACAAGGACGGGAGGAGGGCAGAGGCCACACTGCCCCCCGGAGGGGACAAGGATGGGAGGATGGCAGAGGCCACACTGCCCCCCGGAGGGGACAAGGACGGGAGGAGGGCAGAGGCCACACTGCCCCCCGGAGGGGACAAGGGTGGGAGGAGGGCAGAGCTCACACTGCCCCCCGGAGGGGACAAGGACGGGAGGAGGGCAGAGGCCACACTGCCCCCCGGAGGGGACAAGGGTGGGAGGAGGGCAGAGCTCACACTGCCCCCCGGAGGGGACAAGGACGGGAGGAGGGCAGAGGCTACACTGCGCCCCGGAGGGGACAAGGATGGGAGGAGGGCAGAGGCCACACTGCGCCCCGGAGGGGACAAGGGTGGGAGGAGGGCAGAGCTCACACTGCCCCCCGGAGGGGACAAGGGTGGGAGGAGGGCAGAGCTCACACTGCCCCCCCGGAGGGGACAAGGGTGGGAGGAGGGCAGAGCTCACACTGCCCCCCGGAGGGGACAAGGACGGGAGGAGGGCAGAGGCCACACTGCCCCCCGGAGGGGACAAGGATGGGAGGAGGGCAGAGGCCACACTGCGCCCCGGAGGGGACAAGGGTGGGAGGAGGGCAGAGCTCACACTGCCCCCCGGAGGGGACAAGGGTGGGAGGAGGGCAGAGCTCACACTGCCCCCCCGGAGGGGACAAGGGTGGGAGGAGGGCAGAGCTCACACTGCCCCCGGAGGGGACAAGGACGGGAGGAGGGCAGAGGCCACACTGCCCCCCGGAGGGGACAAGGATGGGAGGAGGGCAGAGGCCACACTGCGCCCCGGAGGGGACAAGGACGGCAGAGGCCACACTGCCCCCCGGAGGGGACAAGGACGGGAGGAGGGCAGAGCTCACACTGCCCCCCGGAGGGGACAAGGGTGGGAGGAGGGCAGAGCTCACACTGCCCCCCGGAGGGGACAAGGACGGGAGGAGGGCAGAGGCCACACTGCCCCCCAGAGGGGACAAGGACGGGAGGAGGGCAGAGGCCACACTGCGCCCCGGAGGGGACAAGGACGGGAGGAGGGCAGAGGTCACACTGCCCCCCGGAGGGGACAAGGACGGCAGAGGCCAGCACTGCCCCCAGGAGGGAACCTGAAGCACAGGCAGCAGCTGCAGACTGAGACTGACAGGAGCAAGCACGGGTGTGTGACGTCACAAGACATCAACCTGCAGGAAACTCACCGGCAACCTTTAAAAAAAAATGTCTTCAAAAAGGCTTGACAGGCTGGAAACGGAAAATGCAAACAGAGGAATTACAAGCAAAAAGGAATGATGGAAAAGTAACGAGGGGAGAATACTGAAAATGGTAATGAATGCATTTCTGGACAGACTACCTGGAACCATGAAGAAGGTCAGGCCCGTGGCCTGGGAACTGCAGCCTGGAGACTGGGAGTTTGAAGCAAGAGCAGGTTCGCTGCTCACCAAGAGACAGGATATGGGAACAACCGGCAAGTAGGCCAGAGATGCAGATGTCTGATTTTGAGATCTGAGCAAGGGACAGGGACTGGAAGAGTCAAAGGCAATGAGACGCTGAAGGGAGAAGTGCACTGCTTGTGACCGCGGAGGTCCTCCCAGTGGGACACAAAGTAGGGCAAGACGCTGGGCTGGGTCCGAGGAAATAAAATGGCTGCTGAGACAACAGGACACGTCTCCGAAGCACAGCCCGCCCTCTCCAGGATCTCCCGCCGTCTGCACTGCTGTGCTGTCACCGCATGTAAACCCAGCTCACAGATGCCGCCACTGGTCTCACGCTCCAAACACAGTGTCCGTGAAACTACGTACTTCCTAAGCTCTGAAAGTCACCGCTTACCCTGAAACCCACAGGTCTGCTCAACCTTCAGTGGACTTCAATGTTTCTTGTTATTTAAAACAAATAAGAGAGTTAACCCCAAGACAGGATTTCTCAAGTACAAAATTAACATTTTGGGAGAAAAATTCTCAGTTGAGGGGACTGTCCAGGCCTCTACCCACTGAATGCTAGGAGCATTCTCCCCGCCATGGCAATCAAAGATGTTTCCAGATTCTGGCACGTATCGCCAATGGGCAAAACCTCGGCTGGCTGGGAACCACTACTGAAAGCCTGGAGGAGGGGCACCGGGTGTATGGAAGGACTGTGCCGGCACCACTGGGCGCGCAACGCTGGGGGGAGCGTCCAGGCCCCCGCTGAGCCGCGAGGTCCCTACCAGAAGAGTTTGCCGGCCTGTGCCTCTCCTCCCCGGATGTACGGAGTGATTTCTTTGGTGAAATTCCATTCTTCTTCCAAAAGGTTTTTTAAACTATGGGATGCTTGAGGTAATTGCTGTAGCATTTGGATCCAGCTTCTCATGTAATCAAAATACACCTTAAAATACAAAAGTTATAAAGAGAGATATTTAGGAGCAGAATTCAGCAACTCCCAACGTTCACCTCGGTGAACAGGATAGTTACAAAGGCTGGCGACCCCGGGGAGCAAGATTCTTCAGCCCTGCTCGCCAGTGTCTGCGAGAGGACTGGCTTCACGATGACATGACTCTTTGGTTAAAACACATCACCCACAAGCCCTTCCAATCTCAAAGGAAATAACCAAGATGCTCACAACATACAGAAAAGCACAACAAAGTCTTCCTAAAGACCACAGTGACACCTGCAGCTTTCATGACCACACAGTGAAATACAGCTCGTGAGCACTATTCCCTCAAGGGGCTTGCGCCATCACTCAGCTTGAAACGGCATCTTCCGTGCTGGGGGAGGCGAGCACACTTCTCTCCACCGGCCCCTCCTGACGCTCAGGTTCCAGTGACAAACTATTTGTAAGGATCTGACCTACAATCAGAACATCTGGGGGCCCTGAAGAGGGGCTGATGCCACCACAGCCCTGTCGTCACTGCCTTCCTGCCCTGCACTCCACCCTGAGGACGTGCTGGACAGGATGGTCTGCACCAGCCAGGGGTTCTTCTCGAGACAGTCCACAATGGCTGGATCGCGGGCAGCCCTGCCCAGGACTCTCTTACTGAACAGGCGTCTGTACCGGGTAGAAGACACCAGGGTCACAGCCACTGTCCCAGGACGTGGCTGAGGACCACGCCCCTCGGCTACACCACACTTAACGTCTTCAGGAGTCTGCATCTCAGTCCTTGCATCTTACAGGTCGGGATTCGCAGTGACGTCTTTCCTGAGGTCCAGAGCTAACTTCCAGCGATAATAACCTTCTGGTCTTTTCCTCGGTTTAAGAGCATTTTCTGCTGCCGTAATGCTGCAGGCTGCCTGGAGTGGATCTGCAGGCCCGGGTCTCCTCACCAGGGCTGTGTGTGCAGATCCTAGGTTCTCTGCCTACCACCACAGGCCCAGGTGGAAGAAGGCCCTTCAGTGCCGGGCCCAGGGGTGCCCTCACCATCCTGGGCCCCCCTCTCCCCGACGGCCCTCTGCAGGGCCTCTGTGACCTCCACAGACACCCAGGAGCTGCAGAGCTGGTGTCCTCTTGCTTCCCATTGCTACTATCAAGCCACTCTTGCACCTTCTTAATTTAAAAGAAAACCAAGGACCGACCCTGTCCCTTTAAGATGGTCATCTACTGACTTCTGTTCCCCATCAGGCTTCAGACCTCACCTGGCAGGCTCCGGCCTCTGCCGACAGCGTCTCCTCTCCCCAGGCTCAACCGTCACGATGTGGGACCAGCATCAGGGGGTGCCCACAGAGCACACCTCGGTGCCATTCCACGTGCCTCCTTCACCCCGAGTCCCCTCCACGTTGGCCCAGGTCCCATCTCACACCCCACATCGCCACACCTGCTCCGACCACAAATCCCCGTTCAAGCTCTCTGAGGCCGGAGGCCCCCCTCCCCCGCAGATGTGCTTAGCCACAGCACTGGATTCCAGTGCCCCGATTCCTCCACTTTCTCCTGCTCACGACCCCCTTCCCCATCCCGGCATCCCTCGCAGCAGCACTGGCGCCAGCACGCGGAGGCCAGCCCCCTCGCACGCCCTGCCGGCCCGTGCTGCCCCGCAGCGCGCCCGTCTGACGCACCTGAGCCACACTGCAGCAGCTGAGGGCCACGTGGGTCACTCCCCACGCACGCCCGCCTTCCGGGAGTCGCATCAGTGCGCCCTCTCAGGCTCCTGCTCTCCACCACCCCTACTTCCCACTTTCCCCAGCCTGCCCACACCGCCTTCACCCACTCGTGGCACAAGATCTCACCTCTCTTCACAAAGGACAGAGGCCTCCCACTTCCTGACCCCACCGTGACACACTGCATTTCCTCCGTCTTTACCAATCTCTACACGTGTGCCGGGACCCAGCGGCCCCGGAAGTCTGAGACCCCTCACACGATCCATTTCCTTCACCTTATGATGCCAATCCCACAGGCGGTCACAGGCCCACGTACAAACTGCTCCCCATCACCAAGCATCTCGCCACACCAGCCGGATGCCAGCAGTCACTCTCCACGCCACTCCCACATCCAACCCACCCAAGTCCCACCCCATAACTCCCTCATCTCTCTGCAGTCTGCACCCTTCTGTCTGGAAACCCAGGGGCCTGCCCAAACACGACTGCAAGCCCCCACAAGCTGCGCCCCGACAGCTGCCCTGGCCCAAGCCGGCCCTGCTGCGCCTTCCAGGGCCCCTCCTGCAGCCGGAATCGGCCCCGCTGCGCCTTCCAGGGCCCCTCCTGCAGCCGGAATCGGCCTCGCTGCGCCTTCCAGGGCCCCTCCTGCAGCCACACATCTGCCACCTCTGTCAAAAAATGCTACTTTTTGTCTTACTCTTTTTGAAATCAAAAAGCAAAGAGGCTGAAGAATATTCTAACATGTATCACCTGGAGTGAGCAAACAGCAAATGATACTCTGTCATTTGCGCTCTTGGATAATTTTTCAAATTAAAAAAAAGAAACCAGAAATTTAACTTCTTTGTTCTCCCTTCACTCCCCTCTCTCCTCTCTCCCAGAGGCAACAAGGACCAGGAATTGAGTATGCTTCCTCCCAGCCTCTCTGCTCTTTAGAACTATCTTATGTGAACTCTGAGATGAACTCCAGGGCCCTTCCGCAGGGAAGCCTCCCTAACCATCCACAAGCTCAGATCCAGCCTGGAGCCCAAGGACACCCGAGCCTCCCAGCCTTCCGTGGCGGCAGCTTCCCCCGCTGAGTTCATCACGTTGTGATTACCCAGCAGGCACTTCTCATGCCGGAGCCCGGCACCCAGCAGGCACCTGTCTGGCACACGGGAGACGCCGCAGGTATCTGTGCAGAGGAACACCAGCTGCTCTCAGCTCTCACGAGTCTTCCGCGACTTCCCGTCTTGCTCACCATCTTCAATCCTTTTCAACTGGCTTCCTGTCAACGGTGCCACAGCGTACGCTGACGTTTGCCGTGGCTGTTTCTGAGGCGGGGCAGGGAAGTGAGAGCTCACGGCTGCCATGGACGTCCGATGCCTCGCCCGCTCGCCACGCTCCCTCCGACCTGACGCGGAAGCGCCTCGTGTTCCAGTGCAGCGGACACTGCTCCATGGAGGAGGCTCCTAAGTCAGACATTCTGCACCCAGCCTTGCCCGTCCCTGCTGCCGCTCCTGCCACTGCCCATCTGCCCGGCAACCCCAGGTCTGGCCGCCACTGAGGGGCCTGGGTCTGAGGGCCTGCAGCACTCTGGTAGCCCCCAGGCCCCTCACTTCAGTCTGCACTGCAGGTGAGTAACTCTACCAGATTCTTTACGTGGGGGCTGAAGGGGTGGATACTGTAGCCACTTTCCTTGTGAAAATGGAATTCTCTTCGTTGTTGTTTTTGCTGGATTTCACAAAGAGGGTGTGTGTGCCGAGCTCCCTCCCTTCCTAAGAGAAACATGGGGCACAGGGCACAGCTTCAAACCACTGATGGTCTCCAGTCTCTTCAACGGTGCCATTACAGACCACAGCTCAGGCACACGACTGACAGCTGAGCCAGGACCAAGTTCTCGGCATGTCTACGATAACTAGCTCCGAGTGTGGGAGCTCACGTAACCAAGGCTCCCAACGTTGTGCAGGTGCAGCAGTGCATGGGAAGGCACGGTTCCCTGGCCTGGAGCTCCTCGCCCTCCTGCCGCTGCTCTGCGCGAGAAGAGGCACCGGGGCGCCTGGGGAAGGCCCTGGAAGGCAGTCTGGGAGCAAAGCTCTCCTGCCTCCCCGAACTTCTGGTTTAATCAGCACGAAGAAAGCAAGCAGTAATTTGCTTGTTGCTTTTCACAATAACTTCTTCATAATAAAGACTTTTCTGTCATAAGAAATACATGGTATTTCAAAACGCTCCCATTGTCCACACCCTGATCTCTCAAGCATTCTCCATAAACATGAGAAAGCAATTCCAAGCTCATTAAAATTATTCTAGGAAAATGCCAACACTGCCAGTCCTGCTCCCCGGCACTTCTGCCCTTCTCTCCGTCCGCTACAAGGGCTGGCGAGCTCCCTGAATTCCCAGCCCGGGAGCAGGTCCTCAGTGAGAGGCAGGGGAACCTGCTCGTGTGCTCTGACAGGAAGGTCTGGGCTTCGCGGGCAAGCTCTTTCCTGCCTTCTCTTCCAGCCCAAAAGCGGGCTGGCTTCAGGGGTGAGGACGAACACCAAGGGAGTCGGCAGGACACTCATTCTCTCCATCATTTCAACGACGGGCACACAACGTGATCAGCTGTGTGTCCGCCCTACAGGCTCCACCGTGGACCCATCATATCCAGTAGCACTCTACCAGACACTGTGGAGGACAAAGATTTTCAAGTCACAGCCCTGGCTTGTGAAGCTTTCAGACTGAATGGGAACACGTGAGAACACAGTCCGTGTTTACATGTTGAACAGTACAGTTCTAATTGTAACTGCTAGGGGTTTAAAGAACGTAGACATAAAAGCTGGCAGACAGAGCTTTCTAGAGAAAACTAAAACCTGGAAGCAGGTCTTCTCTGTACATACTTAATTATGCATTTATTTATTTGACAGAGAGCCCCAACCGCCACTTCCCTCCCCAAATGCCCACAGCAGCTAGGGCTGGGCTGGGGCCAAAGCTGGGAGACAGGAACCCAATCCAGGTTTACCAAGTGTGGCACAGCCTAACCACATGAGCCATCACCGCTGTGGCCGGGGAGACGCATTCGCAGCAAAGGGGGGTCAGGAGCCACAGCTGGGAATTAAGTCCAGGCAGGCCCATGTAGGTCACAAGGGTTTTGAACGTGGGGCCAAACACCTGCCTCTGAAGGCAGTCAGACTGGCAGAGGAGGAGGAAGGGGCACTCCTAGCGGTAAGGGACAGTATGAGCCACAGTGCAGAGGCTGAAAAGCACAGGGGAAGCACAATGTGTGTGAGCAGAGCAGGATCTCGCAAGGGAACAATGGAAACAGGCCTGTCCTCCAAGCCAAGCCGCTCCGCAGCCCTGCGATGGGCTGGGCTCCGGGCGAACCCCTGACTCACCTGTAAGATTCAGCCTCCTTGGGGCCAGCGCGGTGGCACATCAGGTAAAGCTGCCGCCTGCAGCGCTGGCATCCCATACGGGTGCTGCTACAGATTCCAGCTGCTTTACTTCCGATGCAGCTCCCTGCTAATGTGCTTGGGAAAGTAGATGAAGACGGCCCACGTGCTTGGGCCCTGCACCCATGTGGGAGACCTAGAAGAAGCTCCTGGCTCCTTGAGCCTGGCCTAGCACCAGCCGCTGTGGCCATCTGGGGAGTGAACCAGAGGAAGGAAGACCTCTCTCTCTGTCTCTCCCTCTCTCTCTAATTCTGCCTTTCAATAAATAAATAAATCTTTAAAAAAAAAAAAAAAGATCCAGCCTCCCAGTGGAAGCCCACAGGCTGGATCAGGGGTTGCTTGCAGCACTGAGTATGGAGGTGGGAGGTGTCTACCAAGGCCAGTCCCCACCACACAGCGTCCTGTTCTTCTTCACTTCTCCCAAGGCCACACACGGTTCGAAAAAGCAGGAAGAGATTTTGATTCTCCTTCCGGGCCATTCTGCCGTAAGATGAACTATCCTACTACTAAACAATGAAACAAGTCCCAGCGAAGGGCCACTGAGGACAAACCTAGCATGGATCAGGGAGCACGAGCAGCACTGTGGGGAGAGTCGGGTCACGGGCCACACGCGTGAGGGAGCCGGCCCCCCCGCTCACCATCAGCATCTCGTGCAGGTCCTCCTCGAAGGCGTCGATGTCGCAGCCGGGCCTCTCCGGGTCGTGCAGCACCTCCTGCAGCATGAACTGGTAGTACTGCTTCATCAGGAGGCCTCCCTTTAACACCTCCTTGCACTCTCTCACCAGCTGCAAAGCAAGGGCACAAGCTCTGTGAGCCGCACGCCCTCCCCGGGGCGCCAGCCAGTTTCACACACTCCCACTCAAACCCTCGAAACTCAGGGAGAGGGGACCTGGCCTCTGAAACCCTGCAACAGCTCCCAGGTTCTTCCTCAGTTCAGTATGTGACTACTGCATGCCTCGACTGAGTAAGAACCAAACAGTGAAAACACAGGAACGCATTACTGCAGCCTGGATACACACAGAGAACAGCACAGAGGCAACTAGCGCTCTGCTGAAATACACCCTCCCACAAACAAGTGAGGCTGGAAATAGACTCCATGAAGATCAGTTTGTCTACTCATCTACATCCTAAGACGAGAGAGAAGAGTCTCCTAACAAAACTGGTAAATTCTGACCAAAAACACAGTAACAACTCACATACTTACTTAGCACACAGCAAGGAAGCCAAAGCAATAATGTAGCATAATTCATCTACTATAATTTGTGGCCCAGTCTACGATCAAAAAACTCTAGTAACTGTAAAAACAAGCAAACAAAGCTAAGCTTAATCTGATGAAATTAGAGATCAAAGAAGCAAAATAAAAAAGATGCAGGCCAGAACAGAGTGGCTGAGAGTCTCAGGGTACTGAAGGGAACACCTGCCAACCAGGACTGCTGTCCCCAGCAAAGCTCCCCTGCAGACACAGCAGAGAAAGACTCCCCCACAAACACAAATCATCAGAAGGTACAAAACTGACTGACGAGAGAGCCTAGAAGTAACTCACACGTCTTCAGCCAACTGATCCTCCACAAAGGTGCGGGAACACACCGGAAAAGGGACAGTCTTCACAATAAATGGTGCTGGGGAAACTGGACATCCGCACGCAGAGGGCCGACACCACACTACAACCCCCAACCTTTCACCACATGTAAAACTCAACACAGAAGAGACTGAAGACCTAAATGTAGGACCTGCACCTACATGACTACTAAGACAGGGGGATGCTTCTGGCACTGGGATAGACAAGGATTTTACGCTGAGACCTCAAAAGCACAGGAAAAAAAGAAAAATAAAAAAAAGACAATGTGATATCATCAACCTAAAAGCTTCTACTGCACAGCAAAGGAACCAGCCAACACAGTGAAGAGACAGCTGACAGAAGGGGACTGCACCACACACCATGAAGAGACAGATGACAGAAGGGGGACTGCACCACACACCATGAAGAGACAGCTGACAGAAGGGGACTGCACCACACACCACGCATCTGAGACGGGTCAGTAACCACACGACACATGCATCTGAGACGGGGTCAGTAACCACACGACACATGCATCTGAGACGGGTCAGTAACCACACGACACATGCATCTGAGACAGGGTCAGTAACCACACGACACATGCATCTGAGACGGGGTCAGTAACCAGACTACACATGCATCGGAGACGGGTCAGTAACCACACACGACACAAGGAATCAGCAGCACAGGAACACCAATCCAATTTAAAATGGGCAACAGACCGCAACACACACTTTTCAAAGGGACATACAAATATCCAGGTACGTGAAAGAGCACTCAGTACCACTACTGGGTGCATGTCCAAAGGGAATAAAGCACTCGGCACTCCCACGTTTACGCAGCGCTACTCACAGTAGCTAACAAACAGAAACCATCTAGGTGCCTATCAACTGATGAAGAAAGAAACATAACACATACGCACAGTGGAATACTATTCGGCCATAAAAAGGAGAAAATCCTGCCATGTGCAACAACACGGAGGGACCCGCGGTGCGAAACAGTGTTAGCCAGGCAAAGAAAGGCAAGCAGTGCATGATCTCACTCACATCCAGAATCTCGAAACACAACTCACAGCAGCTGACAGCAGAATGCAGTCACCAGAGGCTGGCGAGAACAGGAGGGAAGAACGGCAGGAGTCACAAGTTACAGCCAGATGGGAAAACGAGCCTGGTAGTCCATTACATGGCAGGGTGAGCAGCGGTAACAGTAACGTCCTATACATATGCCTTTCAAAGCTAGTTAGGAAGGTTTTGAATGTTTTCACCAAAAAAACAGGTAAGTGTTTAAGGAGACAGCTGTAAGTTTATCTTGAACACTGTGCAATGTACACGTGTTGAGACATGATGCTGTACCTCCTAAATATGTACAAGTTTCATGTGTCAGTTTAAAATTAAAATTAAAAAATGATGGCCAGAATTGCAATATATAGGTCCAGTAAGTCACGGTACTGAAGAGGGACAAGGGCTGGAAAGAGATGACCTGTAAAGCACCTGCCGTCCGTCACAGGCAGAATCCAGAGCCGGCTCTCAAATTCCAACTAACAGAGGCTACAGCACAAGACTCAGCCACGCTCACCTTCAAACGCGCTAGCCAGGACAGCTGCTGATGGGAACATCAGGTGGCCAAACGTCCCAGAATCTAAGTCTGTGGAGCACCTACTCACTGTTACGTGTTACACTCGGGAAACAGAGACGTGACCTAACACTTACCTGTAAATCAACTTACCCTGCTATTATCTAAAACAATGGGAATTACCTGAATAAAGGATTATGCATCTACACAGCAGAGCACTATGCAGGCTCTAAATTCCTGTTCTGAAAAGCACTTAACGAAAGGGGGCAGTCACAGGCGCTCACACACTTACCTGCATGTGCAGGAGGAATGTGTGCAGGAAAATGAAACAGCGGAAAACACCGAACGCTAGAGGGGCTACCTCTGAGTGCAGGATACCATGACAACTTTCATTTTTGTTTGTACCATTTTCTGTACTTGTTAAATTTTCTAAAATACACATGGATTGTTTTTATAGACAAAATATAAATATGTTAGAAATATAAACATGTTGGGGCCAGCACTGTGGCACAGTGGGTTAATGCCCTGGCCTAAAGCGCCGGCATCCCATATGGGCGCCAGTTCTAGGCCTGGCTGCTCCTCTTCCGATCCAGCTCTCTGCTATGGCCTGGGAAAGCAGTAGAAGATGCCCAAGTCCTTGGGCCCCTGCACCCATGTGGGAGACCTGGAAGAAGCTCCTGGCTCCTGGCTTCGGATCAGCGCAACTCCAGCCGTTGCAGCCAACTGGGGAGTGAACCAGCGGGTGGAAGATCGATCTCTCTCTCTCTCTCTCTCTCTCTGCCTCTCCTCTGTGCAACTCTTTCAAATAAATAAATAAATCTTAAAAAAAAAAAAGAAATATAAATATGTGACAAGCAAGTTCTGGCAATAGTTAAGCCACTGAAGAGCGTTCAGTTCAGATTATAGACATAAATTCACACGCTGAAGAGGTCATGTGGACAAATCAAAATTTCTATTTTTGTTTTATTCTAGCAATGCTACATTAATGCTACCTAAGCATTAGACAACATAGCAGCCCTACTGGCAAAAAGTAAAGCCTGCTTTGTTTTCCCAGGCTGTATTTCTGAAGCTTTTGTTTGGTAAGAAAGGGAGTTAAGAAATATTTTACCACAGAGTCCTAGATACCTGCTACAATACAGAGGACAAGCTGAAAGCCTGCTCACAGTGGACAGCAAGACCAGAACCACAAGTAAGACGGTAAGGAGGAGGCAGAACAAATGGGGAAAGAGCCCTGGTCAGTGCTGGGTGCAGACTGCAGGAATACAAATGAGCTGAGTCCACCGGTCACTGTTGTACACCTGACCACACGCATGCCCACCAACCACATGCACACACCCCTAACCACGCACATGCATGAGCATATAGCATGCACGCACACAGGAGTTTGTACATACATGTATATATGCAGACATGCATGGGAGCACATGCCTAATGACACACATAAATGCACACACACACACACGAGTGCACACAGAGACAGGCACACATACCTAACCCCACATACATGCCCACACTTCTAATCACATACACCCCTGAACACACATACACAAATCCAGTATGTACATGTACATGCACACATACATGGGAGCACACATAAATGCACATGCACACACACACGAGTGCACAGACAGGCACACATACCTAACCCCATACACATGCCCACACCTCTAATCACACACACTTGTAAACACACATATACAAATCCAATGTGCATCTACCATGTGACCTGTATCCACCTGTCTTTCCTTCACCTGTACTGCTCACCTAGGCTCAGAGCCAAATGTTCCTAGCTCTTCAATCCCCAGGCGATAGTTATTCTACAAAAAAGCACTCCAACCTTCCTTTTGCATGGACAAGAGCTGAAGAATTTAATTCTGCAGAGTGGCCGTCAGCAGGTGACCACCACAGAGCACAACCACACAGACTCTGTGGCATCCACCCCTGCAGACACAAGTGCTCTGGCCGTTCCTCTGCTGCCCCTGGAACGTCAGTCCCCATAAGATCCCATCCAGAACCAACAGCAGCCAAGAACTCAGACGCTGTCGCTACTGATGAAACCACCCGACTGCTCAGCAGCAGGAAGTCCCATCACCTCCCATCGGCGTGCCTTAAAGACATGTGTCTGCCTCCACGTATGTGAAGCCGAATAAAACTTGAACTCTACCTCTTAGAAATGAATTTTAAGCTTCCAGTCTTGGAAGACTGATATGAGGAAGACAGGGCCATGTCATCATCTTGTCTTTATCCTTTCTTAGAACAAGGAAGCAGACAACAAAAGGCTGAACCACATTCTTCCTTTGAGGACTGCACAAAAGAACACTCAAAACTGCCACATACAGAAAACACTAACATACAAGCACTTTCCACAGTCTGCGACCATCAGAGGGAGAAAAAAGTCTCCAGGATGGAACTCCCGAGCCTGCGGTAACAGGGCCGGACACACACCTGCTTGATGCTGAGCAGGGACGGCTCCCCGGCGGGCCTCTGCTCCAGCCGCAGCTTGAGGCACTCATGGATGACATTCAGCAGCACTCGGCACAGGACCAGGAAGGCGGGCTCAAAGGAGGGCAGGTCCATGGCCCTCAGCTCTTCCCAGGACACGGCGCTGCTCCTCTGCTCCGCGGACGGCGGCGTGCTGGACAGCTGCACGTAATCAGAACCCCACATGGGATCCGGGAATTCAGAAAACTACAACAGAAATCCAACATGCAAAGATTAAAGGAGCACACAGGACAGTGTTCCCACGCTGGGGTCACGAACAAGTATTCTCGTACGCTGCTGACAAATCTACAAAATGCTAGTTGCACGAGAAAAGTCTTTATATTCAACATTTCCATCAAAAATTCTAGGAGTGTTAAGGAACTGTAACAAGAACTGAAACCAAATGGTAATGCTTTTACCCAAAAAGTATGGTAGCAAAAGAAAAGAACCATGTTCACTCTCAACAGTTTTGCAACGCGCTTAAACTGGTCAGAACATTGTATATAAGTCTATGTACAGTACCATCCACAACTTTCTGTAGATAAAAAAAAAAAAACAGAATTATTAAAATCAGGTTAACAGCTCATCCTAAGTAGCCACATATGTGACCACAAAAACTGGTGGGTGCAGCCCGTTCTCACCACTTGTTTCCTGAGCCAAACTAGATGATGCTGATGGAAAAACAGACGCCTATAACCAATCCGGTGCTGGCACCCAGGGATGCATCATCTGATGCTTCCTGGGGACCCCGGGCTGGCTCACCCACTCTTTGAGCTGCCCTCAAAGTCTTACAGCTTTCCCATAAAACAGGAACTGTCAACATCATCCTGACCAACCTCATTCACAAACCTTGACTCTTCCTTTTACTGAGAAAATTAAAGCCATCAAAATGTGAAAACTTCAACATTTCTTCAACATATAATCCCTCAACTGCAGCTGTTCTGTGTCCACGACATCACTCCCTCCCCTCCTCCCTGTCATCAGGGAGCTCCTAATTGGCCTCCCTGCCCTCATGCTGACATCTTCAGAGCAGCCAGGGTGAGCGTTTCAAAACCCAACGGGGAGAAGCCCCCAGAATAAAACTCCAACCCTGGCCTTCAAGGGCCCATATGATCTGACTCCCTTCCAGAACTTCCCCCATACCACTACTGCGTGCTCACCTCAGCCGTCCAGATGCACCTCCACTGCCCCAGCAGGGCCTGCCCGGAGGGCTCTGGGTCCCCTGGACCCCTGCCCTCCATTCTCAACAGAGCACTTCACATTTCACAGGGAGCAGTGGACGGAGAGCTCCCGAGGGCAAGGACTTCTGACTTTCTGAAGACCAGTGACCACCCAGCACTGTGAAAGCAGCTGGCCAAGCCGTGCGCGTGCACCCAGGACCCACGCCCGCCTCTGACACCTGCAAGCCCCCACCTGCCCGTCCACTGAGTAAGGCCCAGAGAACTCCCCAGCCTCCTGGTCAGCCCCAGCCCTCTCCGTGCTCCACGTGGCCAGCAGCACTGGCACTCACACACAGGTGGCCTGCCCCTCACCTGCCCTCTGCTCCTGTTGCTGCCACGCTGAAGATCTTCTTCTCTTTATTTTTCCACTTCAAAATCTTTAGATTCCAAAGCTCAGCGCAAGACATCATTCTAATACTGTGCTTGTCATACCCCATACCCTCCCCAGAACACCAACTACAAAATTCTGAACTCGGAGCCCATGCGGACTTTCCGTTTCAGAGACAGAGTGGTTTCATGAGGAAAAAAAATTATCAGGGTCCAAACCACGAGCTGCTTTGCAGCAAAGGCGAGCAAGCATATCATGCAAGCGATATCTGTACACACCTCATCTAGAACTTTCCAGCAGATCCAGGCCTTGAATGGCAAAGACCCTGGCTGCAGACGCCCCCTGGGGCTCTGTCTTCCTCAGGACAGCTCCTGATGTCTGTGTGTCAGAGGTCCACAGGGCGACGGCTTGCACAACGACACCTGTCCCGTCTCCCACACATCGCCCCCTTGGACCACACACACACATTTAAGAAGCTGTATCGGTTCTACATAACTATTTCAGGAACCCACCCTCTCCTCTGTATCCCAACTGGCACTGGCTTTTCTTTTCAACTGTTCCTCGTGATTTAATATCTGAATCCACCAACCATGACCCCAAAGTGGTTCTGTGTGGAGGCTTGGTCATACCACTTGGCTGGCACCCTGTGGCACCACTACAGGTTAGGCACCTGTATCATCCAGCCGGCGGTCTGCTCTCTGGGTGGATCTGTCCTAATCTCCCATCACCACCTCCGCTCCTGACCATAAACCTCTCAGCTCCCCGACTTCAACCTACCTGCCTCTGTGCTCCAGCACCAAGTAACACCTTTCGCCTGGGGGACTCCTCTCCTCCAGACGGTTCTGCGACTGCCTCAGAAAATGAATCAGTCCTCCCCGTTCCTTGCCGATACTTCTGCCTTGCAAATGCTTCCTTGGCTGGATTTCCCTTGCTTTACTGTAAAGGGCTACTTTACCTGCTCGATTTTCCCATTACATCATCCCGAAAAGGAAGACTTGCCCATCTCTGGTTCAGCATGGCTCTCCAGCACAGAGCTGGGCAGCTGCCACATAACAGGACTGAACCGATGCTTGAAGAATAAATCAACAGGCAAATACTCCCACAAAAGGCCAACGCTTCTTCTCTGGCTGTTCACAACCCAACGCTAAAGAACGCATCACACGGTCAGATCCACCTGTGGACAAGTTCTCAGCTCTCAGATGCCATCACGCCCCCTAACGACAACAGAGATTATTTTAGTGACAACACGAGGTCCTAACACTTTAAAAATGGACACTTTTGAGTTTTTTAAAAATAGCACAAATAACTTAGTTAACGGAGACATTTAATGACAAAGATAAGGATGTTTTCTCCTTACATAATACCAAATTCCCAGACACATGAACTGCCTAAAAGGAAGCAATCCCGTCTGCTCCTGAAGACGTACACTTTTCCTGTATGGAATAACCTGCATCAGCAAACACCGCGTTACAGTCGGAGCACCGCAGTATGGACCTGAGGAGTACCCATGAGCAATGCAGGTGCAAGAAAGAACCCGTTTGGCACTATGCAAAATAAGACCAACTTATATTCTTACATTCGATGCATATTTTTATTTAAATTAGTACATAATTGGGTTTTCCCATCAGGCAAGAATCTGTAAAATAGACACACAAGTTATCAGTGATTACTGTGCTAAATATGGTCGCGGCTGGGGTGCACGTTGGGTGCAGTGATAAAGCTCCACGTGGGGTGCCCACATCCCATAGCAGAGGACCTGGGCTGGAGTCCCCGCTCAGCTTCTGACTCCCGCTTCCTACCAGTGCACCCTGGGAGGCAGCAGTGGTAACTCAAGCAACTGGGTCCCTGCCACCACGAGGAGTCTGGACTGAGTTCTGCGCTCCTGGCTTTAGCGTGGCCCAACCTTAGCTGCTACGGGCACTGGGATGTGAAACAGCAGAAGGAAGGTGTCTGTCTCTGTGCCTCTCTTTCTCTGCCTTTCAAATAAATGAAAATAAATAAACACGTTTTTAAAGTGTGGTCAGGGCCGGCGCCGTGGCTCAACAGGCTAATCCTCCGCCTGCAGCGCTGGCACACGGGGTTCTAGTCCTAGGCGGGGCACCCGATTCTGTCCCGGTTGCTCCTCTTCCTGTCCAGCTCTCTGCTGTGGCCTGGGAGTGCAGTGGAGGATGGCCCAAGTCCTTGGGCCCTGTACCCACGTGGGAAGACCAGGAGAAACACCTGGTTCCTGGCTTCAGATCAGCGCGGTGCTGGCCGCAGCAGCCATTGGAGGGTGAACCAACGGAAAAGGAAGACCTTCCTCTCTGTCTGTCTCTCTCTCTCACCGTCTACTCTGCCTGTCAAAAAATAAAAAACAAATAAAGTGTGGTCAAGGTTAAGTCATGTCTGTAAACGCTTTAGGCACCAAGAAGTGCTTCTTCCCTAATATAATGACATCAAAATTATGTAAAGCTCAGCAACTTTCTATGACAAAAGTCCCCAAGTCTTCTGGCATCCTCTACACCCCAGCATGTCGGCCCACTGGATCCAGGCTCACTGGGCAGAGGCGCAATTCCTCCTTCTCAACCCCAGGACAACACTGGCTGGAGCCCAACCCAGACCTACGGTGTCCTGCGGTGGTGCCTGGGAAGGAACAGAGAGAACGACTCGGCACCAAAGAGAAAACGGCAGTGCTCAAGAGGCCCGGGTGAGGAGCCAGCACAGCTGGCTCTGACTGATGGGGACTGAATACAGGAGATGGCGGAGAGCCACAAAACCACACAAGATCTCAGTGGCGTCCTGTGGGGAGGAAAAATCAGCCAAGATTCCTGAAATAAACTCAGTAAGGACAGTGAAAATAAAATGAACACTGGTGAACACACGATTATATTTCAGAATTTACTGCAGAGTGAACCAGAACCCAGAGCAAAAGAGACAAGGGACAGAAACCGTGAGCGACCAGTAAGGGGCACGAAGTCAGATCCAGCAGCACTGGCGAGTGAGAGGAGAAGGCGCACTTCCCGCACTGCAGGGTCTTCCAGGGGACCAGGGAAGAACGCAGATGCCATCCTTCACCTCCTCTAAAACCCTCACGGAGTGACGCCGGGCAGGGCCTGGCATGGAATGAAGGGGTAAAACACCAGAAGAGAACGCCAAGCTGCGAATCCAGCACAACGCACAGAGGCAGACACAACCGAATGATGACAACGGGGCATGAACTATAACTCATATGAACTATCCAGAATAGGATATTTGGATTTTTTTTAAGCATACTAGTGGCATTTGGCATAGTGGTTAGGACACACCCGGGCTGCCGGCATCCCATACTGTAATGCCTGGGTTAAGTCCCAATTCCACTCCGATTCCAGCGTCTTACTAATTCCTCCTGGCAGGCAGCCGATACGAGATCAAGTAGTTGGGTTCCTTGCAACCCATGTGGGAGGCCCAGGTTACATTCTAGCTCCTGGCTTCAGCCTGGCTCAGCCCTGGCTGTTGTGGGCACTGGGGAGGGAATCGGTGGATGGAAGATGTCCCCATCACCCTCCCTCCCACCGTACTTCCCTCAAAAGAATATAAAAATAAAATATAAAAATACATAAGGAAAAAACTTGGATTTTCAATTCTAAATTACTTCAATAAAACCAGAGAGTGGAGGAAGAGGCAATGTGGTACAGAAATGG